AAGTAGCTTCACATTCATCAGCAGTTTCTGGGTTGCTCAATCCTTAGAGCTTCTGTCTGAACTCTGCCAAAATAGGTTCTCCGATTTTGCTTTCTGTCTTTGGCAATTCCAATTTATTCAACTACTTCTCTAATGATTTGAACTTTCTCTCTTGTATGAGTTCTTTGATGGTCTCTAATCTATCGATATCTCGATGTAAGGAATCCTTATGTTGAACAATATCAGCCCAAGCTGCCACTTAAGCAGAGACTCTCTCAAATTCGTTCTGGGGTGTGGAACAACTCATCGATGTAGTATCCAGAAGGGCCACATCAGATAAATCCATAGATAATAAGGATGTACCCAAATCCAATTCAGCAGACAGGGCTAGAATGTTATACAATATTACCACTTCCCAACACTAGTATACATATGACTAATGCCGAACTTCTCATTTTTAATAAAATATTATAAAAACGGATTTAATTGTATTTAATTCACATATCACTCCTAATTCTTTAATATTTCTATATCATCTTAACAAATTTTATAATAATAGGGTGGAAGACTCAACTCTATCAAAACATAAATGAATCAAATTAATAATCATCATTGCTTGGAGGTTAATTTAACTATGCCTTCATTTTGGCCATATTTTCTTATGATCTTTTCAATATCATATCCAATCTTTCCAATTGCTCCTGTTTCTCAGTCTCCAATATCTGCAATTCTTGGTAAATCTTGTTAATTTAGCATTTTTTTTCTATCCAATTGTTATGCTTAGCCTGATGATCCAAAATTCTTTATTACAACAGGTTTCCAAATGCATCATCAACCTCCCTTTGGATTGACTGTAATTTAGTGTCGAAACCTGTTTTGTCCTATAAAATATGAAATCAAATTATACTTCCATTAACAATAAATTCGATTCCTTCTCTCTAATGAGACCTAATATGTTTGAATTCTAAAAGATTATTTTAAAATCTATAATAGGTTCTCTCTCTGTATCTTTCAGTTTTTTGCAGCGATCCATTAGTTCTTCAATTTCTTCATTGTATTTACTTTCATTCGCACTCTTCTCTAAATTAAATATTTCATAATTTTCCATTTCTTTTTTTATTTCCTAAATGATTACTTAAAATAGATATACATATTACAATAGATTTCTTCTATCTTGAAGTAATCTCTATCTTTAATCTTCCTCTCTTTCAAGTCTTTCTAATTCTCCCAACTTTACATAATCAATTTAAGCATCCATTTAAAGGATCACTTTACTTAAATCTGTCTTTAAATCATCAATCATACTCTTACTATCGCAATAATGTCACTTGTATTTGAGACCTAAATTACATCGCCCTCTTCATCTTAATACGTCAATTCAATATTTATCAAGAGTGGATATTTTAATTAGATTTCTTATTGAAGATCGTCATATGATTCCACTCCATTAAAGACAGTCTAATCATTCTAGTATCTGAGTTAAATATCCATTTTCGTTATGAGTATTCCAAATGAATATTTAATAATAAAATACAAATCTGGGATGATATATTATAAAGTGAAAAATAGAATTATTGAGTAACATCTCATAATTAATCAATCCAAACAATTAAAATGGCCAGAGTTTAGTAAAATCGAATCATTAGTATAGATTATTTATTGATTTCTTTTAGTGCCTGAATAAACTCTAACTTGAGTATCTGAAAATTGAATCCATCTTTCCGCCTATATTTTGAATACATCCATATAATCTTCATTCAAATCCCTTGTCACTAATATTATTTAACAAATGTTTTTAATTTCTGAACTTATTTCTAGGATTTCTTAACTCATAACAGTATAACCTTGAATTTAATAAATATCCAATTACTTTTCTCTGCATAATCATTTTATTAAATTTGGTACTCGTACCTATCAATTATACATTTGTAACCTAGGCATTTTAGGTAGAATGATAAGTAATATAAGTACTATCCTAATCGATCGTCGTATAAATTCCCAAATTATATTAACATATTTACCATTGTACCACATAAATTTTATCGCCTAATCAAATTCTAATAATTATTCGTTTCCCTCAATTTTTCAAAATAGATTAAGTTTGTCATCACAATAATGTAAGTATTAAATCTAAAAAAAAATTTTTCTGTAAATTCTTTAAATTCTTAAGGCCTTTGATTACGTAAGTTCGGTAGTAGTGAATTTGAATTCACTTGGGCATGTTTGATCAAAGCGTATGCTGCTTTCAATTTTTCAAGAATGTAGGCTACATCGTTAGGATTCGGTAATCTGTCTTCAATAATTGCCTATCTAATATTTTTGATTTGCTCAAATGAATGACACAAAGATTCACAACAGAATGTGTATAATAACATTAAGTAATCTACTTCAAAAGCTTCTTAACTATCTGAAATAGAGTATTTTATTACTTTATGGAGACTTCAATTAAGAGTTGCTTACAATTGGTTGATATTCGAATTAAGGATGGAAGAATGATTGTCTATTTAGGATTGGCCTCTAATTATTATATCTAATGTTGATACCAAGTTGTTAAAGAAAGTTTAAATATAAGTTGGAATTAATTAAAAGTTGCCGAACATAATTTAATTTCTCAGATGTTCTGCATACTGTATTGCTAGGACTTCATGTTGTTGCAACTAGGAAACCATAGGTTAGAGTTCAAGAAAACTTCTTTTGGTTGTTGTTGTGGTTTTAAAAAAGCAATACATGATTAAATAAATTATTTTGTTTATAGATTAAGTATACACAAATATCATTAAGGTGATTCAAATTTTAAGGGTTCCTTGACAGAGCTTTGCGCATTGTCTTCAAAAATTAATTGTCTGAGCTTCTAGATGCTTTTGTACTTCATTCGACTGAATGATTTTAAGGGACTGATCTATTGATTGATGATGGGTATGGGTATGATTAATTTTTGTTATTGGGTGGATTTGATGTTATAATTGTTGTTGATTTTAAAGATGTACCTGCTGGATGTGGAAGAGGAACTGATTGGGGTGAGTTTATTGATTTCTTCTGAAAGAGCAATGTCATTGGAGAAATTAGGGGATTGGGTGATGATTTGAAGGTTGCTGCGATTGTTTTGGAATTTGGGTTTGAGTAGTTTGAATTCCTTGGATTCTAGTTGGCAATTGAAATCTGATTCTTCAGGGTTCAGATGATGGTAGGATTGAGAGATGGGGATTTGAGTGGATGCATTGGAATTGCACTTATTTTCTTTGAATGACTCAATTTCATGGATGATAGCTTTGAGATCCAATTTTCTGAATTGTTCATCGATGTGGATTTAGATTCTCTTATTTTTGGATTAGTAAAACTTGAGTTCAAATTGTTTGAGTTTCTCTTCTATTTGTTTTTTGGAGTAGTTTTGCGAATAGTAATAGGATTCAAATTGGAAGAGTAGGATGTTTTCCAATTCTTTGTTCATGCTATCTATTTACTCGAAATTCGAGTAGCAGAATCTATTTTATAATTATATATGTAAAATAATACTGCTTAGCCATTTGAATACATTAAAGAGCTTTTCTGTAATTTGTGTCTTTGAGTTTATTGAAAAAGTAATGGTAGAATTAAGGCTCCTTAATACCAATGTTATGATTGATCATATGCTCAAAAGTGATTCCATATTCTTGAGACAATTCGGCCTAAATGAGATGAGCAATATATTACATATTCAATGAAGAGATCCACAGTTTCTTGGTGCTCCTTCATTTCCATATATGGATTAAAAAGAAAGAGCCTCAATTTTTCTCTGTAAGTATCCTGTGAGCAAATCTTTCTTAGATCTTCGAAATAACTAGAGTGAATGAGGATGATTACCTAAAATCAAAAAAAGCCTCCATTTGATGTTAAATTTTAAATACAATATAATGTCATAATGATTAATTAATTTACAAATCACGGTTTTCTTAATTTTTACGTAATAATTCTTCATTAGGATCATAACTGTAAAATGGTCCCATAAACCAATCATTTTTGAGGAATTGGAAGCCAGGATCGATGTTGCCATACACCTCATCAAAGAACTCCTATCCTTTCGAGATCATCCAAATGCGTTTCAATCTCTCTTGCTTCAATTCAGGTGGCTTATTGACTTTGTATTCCGAATAAATGAATCCCTTGGCAGAAGAGTTGTTCCGAGCCTTCTGGATCATGGATTTGATCTCTTGTCTGTTCTCGAATATATTGATTCCCTCATTTTCAGCAGCAATCACATCCACTAATTGTTATTCACTATTGGAAGATACTGGGTCTCTGATTAAGTGCGAATGTTATTGGACACTTGCAATGACAACATTTGCATCTGACTTAGTGTTGCAATGCAAAGTCTGCAATAGATTCTCCTGTCCATGTTCCAGTCTAATCTTCAGAGTGTACATACTTTGATGTTTTAACTGTCTGATTGTATATTCATTAGGAAATGGTTGGAGTATCTGATGAGTGCTGATCTTGCGTTATTATTGATAGACAATGATGTACAAAATGCATTTCTTTTTGTATTTATTAGGATTGATCTCAATGGACACAGTGATACAAGTGGGAGTATTTGATTTTAATGAAATCAAATTAGTATTTTACATATATTAATTATTACTATTATGGGAGTAAGCCATGGTAATATTAATTCCAATAATAAATCAATAAAAAGAATCTGAACAACAAATAGCAGCCTTTGTTTTTTGAGGATCTAAATAGTTCTTCGCCAATTCTTAATCTATTTCATCCACTCTTGACCAAAAATCCTTTGTTAATCGCAACCAACCATTTTAACGAGCATGCATATATATTCCAGATGTTAATTCAGACAGAGAACACAAATGCCATCCTTATTTACAACTACTCAAACTCTGATGGTAATTGCATCCATCACAACCCAAATAGAACAGTCTATTGTTTACTTGTCCAGGGAAATTAACTAATTTGCTGATTTCCAATTCTTATATGTAAATATATAATAATTGTACATAAGAATGGTATGTTGTAGAAGGTTAAATCATCTAAATATAATAGAGGACCGTTGAACCAGGGATCTCCTCCCACATAAAAGGGTCCATCGTTTTTCAAGGGTCTGGCCTTCAAAGACAATACATTGTCGTGAATACCGTTTATATATAAATCAATGCTTAAACCTTACAAGACAATTGCTAAATGATTCCACTTCCTGCCAGTCACACTCCCCTTACTACGCAGGTTCTCCTTGTCATATGATGTACTAACTATCACTTCTATTTGTCCCCCTCCAACATTGGCCTCATCATGAAATGGCCACAACAAAATAGTTGGAGTATATTCGGTAGACTTTAAAGCCTTACGCAAAATGGTTGTAAATGACTACTATGAGGACAATGGGTAGATCCACATTGAGATTGTGACTATGTCATGGTATTAATCATGATGTGGGATTATCGAATATTGCTCTCCACTATAATAGGCAGAATTGCCAACAGCTCCTCTACCTGGACCAAGCTCACAAGGTTATAATAGGTGGTTTAACAATTGACTATCATCCATCTGATTCTTGTCGAATCTCCATAAACCTATAGTTGAATCCAAGGGCACAAATGTCGTGTCTGCTATTTGGTTGTTCACACATAAATGACCATCTAATTTATAGCAAAGTTCTGGTTCTTGAGAATAAATTCCTGAAACAAGAATGAAAATTAAATTTAACATATTATAAAATTTGAATATTTATGAATAGGTCTCAATCCCCCTTAAATGACAGTCGGAGTCATAGTGCATCCAAAAGGTATGTCTCTCCACATGAAAGACAGAACACTCAAGAGAATGAGCAAGTAACTAATTTTAAATTACAATTCAGAATCATAAGAAATTGCCACCTACTTAATAAGTCAAATCTAAAATAATTAACGTTGACCAATCTGATATTGGCAGTATCTTAGGAGAAGTCAATATTAACAACACTAGTAAAATGTCCAACATGACTTAATTTGCGAATTTCATGTATGTTCCATGTCCAACTCATCCAGAATTCTTCATTACTAATCTATGCCAGGAACAAGTATGTTTCATTGTAATTCTCTTTTAGAATTGTATCGAACCCCTCTGTCCAGAATGCATCAATGAACATCTTGAGATGCACTAAAAGAAAGGAAGAGTTCCCAAATTGGAAAACATTCAAAGAGTCAGAAAAGATAACACTTATAAGATAGATGAAATATCCAAATCGCTGTAATTTAAATTATTAGATTGTAAGAAGTATTTCTAAGAACAACCATCTATTATTTATAATAATAATCTTGGGCAATTGAGATCAATCCATGAATAAATCTCAAATATCATAGATGATTATTTTGAAACATTGTACAAAGATTTAAAAGATCAAAATTAAGAAGAATACTTAAAATAGTTAAATTAAATAGAATAAGATATCCAATAGTAACAACATAAACTTAGTAAATTATAAGAAGATTTGCACAATGATAACTATGTTAGGGCTGTCATCTAAATATGTGATGCCAAATAATAATTATTCTCTGACAAGAGTCTTATTTCTTTAGATAGATTAATCGAAAATTATCAGTAATCTCAAATTAAAATAATTTTTGATAAAAACAATATTGAACTCTTTTAAACATATTGTAAAAAGATGTGTTATTTTATCAAGAATACCTAATAACCAAGCAATCAGTAAATTAATAATCATTCAATCAACAAAAGTCTTAAATTTGATGATAAATCAAATCAATCTACAGTAAAATTAACTCGTGTCTCTGAAATACCACCTCCTCTGGTAAATCCAATAACATTAATCTCTGAAAGCCTTACAAATGATGAAGCAAAATACCAGATTAATCATTCAAATCACTTTAAAGATGATGAATAATAAGTGCTTGTCAGATTAGAGGAAGGCGGTTATGCTGCCTATATCTATGACATATAATCAGAGCAATATAGGATTGAAACTATTAATAGTACAACAAAGATCCCCTTATTTCACAGACTATACACTACTTCTTCAGGTAAACATTTAGTTATCGGTGGAGTTGATAGAGATAAATCGAGATTCAAAGCTATTGCGTCGGTTTATGAGTTTAATCATACCACTTTATAGTTAAGTTTACATTCAGAAATGGTCCTGCCGAGATCAATGACTTCTGCTTGTTAGGTTGGCAATTTCCTATTTGTTGTCGGTGGATCATCAACTAATGATGAAAATACATCTATGGCTAAGGCTGAGAAACTAGATTTAAACACAAAGAGATGGTAAACAATTGAGGATCCTTACTTCAAATGTAGTGGGTGTGCATTGGTTGCAATAGATCACAATACATTGTTTAAGATAGGTGGCAAATGCGATATCTTTACTCCATGCAACTCAATCGAATCATATGATATTCAGAAGAATTCTTGGGTATGATATGTTTATTATTGATTTAAGACTAAAGTAGAGTTCAAATTCTTGTCTAATGGATATTTGAGGTTGCCATTTAATAGTTGTGCCATCAAGACTTCATATGATCAGATACTAATTCTTGGCGGATCAGTCCATGATGTTAAGAGTAATGAAACATAGGTATTTGATTTGAATTAATAATAAGATTCTCAATTTGAAGACGAAGACACTGTAGAAGTCGAAAGAGTTGCCAAATTCGATTGAGTTCAACACTCAAAGTGCTATTGTGTAATGCAATAATGTTTACATACTTACCGAGAATGAATAACCTTTGTTATTTGGAAATTAAAATGGATTTAAATATTAATGATATAAAATTATGTATAATTTTGATTTACATCTTAATATAAATAATGAATAAGAACCTCGATCTAGAAGAGCATTATAGAAAAGCAAGAAAGTGAAGAGTATTTCAATTCAAAGAAATTTAAATTAAATGAGCTCTGATTTTAGATGTATAACTGATGTTTCTCCGTCTAATTTACATCAAATACCTATTTTGGGTGGGAGTGTGACTGAAAGAAAAATACTTTCTTTTCGCTACGGCCCATCAGTTGTGCATAGATAGATATACTCAGAAAATTAATTCGAATAAGGATAGTAAAGAAAATTCGTAAGGCAAAAGCTACCTTCCATAATTCAAGGCTATTCTGCGCATGAGTTATCAAAGAATAGAATGTCAGTGGAACCTATGATGAGTCCATTGAAAAACAAGGAAAATAAAAAAAGTATAACTGAAGTAGAATACAGCGAATCGTAATAATTGAATGAACATTTGAGCATTAAAAAACTAAATGATTTATTGGGTCATAAGAAAATACGCCCCGAAAAAGTTAAATAAGATTTTCCTTCGGTTCCTGAGATATTAGATTTTTCTAAACAAATGCAACAAATTTATAAAAAGAATAATATCAATCCATTGAAATTGAGATCGCCTAAGCCCATGGAAACTCAAAACAAAAATACTTAGCATATTGACATTTTAATTAATTTACTTAAGAGAAGATATCTATGATACTGGAAATCAAATGGATATTGATTTTAGATTTAATAAATATCTATTATAAATCACTCTTTTTACTAAATATAGATAGAGTAAAATAGATGATATAATTAAAAAAGTAATGAATGCTCCACATCCAGAGAAAATGATTGAGAAATTTGTATAATCCATATATATAAATCAATTAGAATCAATAGATGGATGTATTGTTGAAACATGAAGAGCTCTTGGCGAAGTAGAGAAAAATAAATGAATAGAAATTGAATAACATTTTCGATCGCAATCTTTAAATAGAAACAAAAGATCGAAAATTGTAAGAACAAGTACACTTACTGCTGTTAATCAGATCCTCTCGTAACGATATTAGAATGAGTAGCTCAAGATCTAGTAAGAGAAATAAAAGCAACTTCATGATGTACAAAAATAGAAAAAGGAAAAGAAGACTGCATAAAATGAGGTATGGTCAAGTGAGTAGAAACAACACGAGAAGGAGATCCAACGCAGAATATTTGAAATCTAGAATAAACTTAAATACGAGGAGTTTAAAAAGAAAACCGATGATTTGATTAACTAATTAGATTACAATCTAAGGAAAGTCAACATACGCTATCTTGAAAAATAAGAAAAAAAAGAGAGATAAGTGAATGAATACATGAGTTTAAAGTAGTAGACTTTAAATTCATCAATGCAAATAAATGAATCTCATAATCAAAATGTCTATTCCAACTATTTAATTGTAGATGAAAAGAATCCAAGAAGTAAATTAAGATATGTATTTAGATTTGTTAGCAAAAGTTGAAGAATTATGAAAGCAAGATTAATAAAATTTATAAATAAAAATATGAAAAGATGGATTAACTCACTTAAAAGGTTCAATAATCCTAAGAACATTAAGAGTTGATCAAAGAGAGATCTAATTAGATATTTTAGACCAAAATCAGAAAATTAAAAGAAAAGATGGATTACTTTTAGGATAAGATAAATTTTATTGAGAAAAAGAGATTATCAGACTTACAAAATAATTATAATAAAGAACTGGAACATCATCAATAAATGAATTAAGTGAGGGCCAAATCTGAGAACATATTTAGAAATAAATCTCTCAATCTCTTGAATAAGCAATTGTTGAAAGAATAAACATCTAAATTGGTTCAACATCAGAATCAATTAGAACTTGAACAGAAACTCTTGAGATTGAATCAGAAATAGCTTACTTAACAATCTCAAGTGATGAAGGCTGATTAATTTAAATAATCCTACCTTTAATAATTGGAATAAAGAATCTCTTAAAGGGATATGAGATTGCAGGATTAAATGTACAATATGAAATTAACTTGTTTTAGATAAAATAAACTAGAAATCTAAAGGAGAAGATTGAAAGTCATTGAGGACATGGAGAGATAAAAAAGGGATATGTTGTTGAAATTGGAATCAGAAAGATTGCCAACAACAAACACTTCTGATATGAAGTATTTTCATAGTACTCCTAGATTATAATCTAAATTATTTATAACCTGAATAAAATGAAGATTAATTATATAACATAATTATTATATCTTTATTATAATTTATATATATATATAATAGTATTATAAGGACAATACTTAAAATGAAATTGATAATAAATAAAATTATACTATTATTTTAGAATAAATATGTTTAGTTAATGATCACATGATTGAACAACAACTACCTTCTTCTCGATCTTCTGATTCCTTCTTGGATTTCTTTTTTTTCTCATCTGATTTTTCTGGTTCGTTTTCAATACTCTAATTGGTATTAATTGTCAAATTATTATTATTATTTAAATATGGATTGAATTATTAAATAGTTGTAGAATCATCGGTTTAAATATATTGCTGATAATTTTTGACCTCAGATTTTTGAATTTGAGATTTCTATTATATTTTTTGTTATTGATCTTTTTGTTTTTTGGATTGTATAGTTAATTATAACTTTTCAATTTCCAACATAACTTTTTAGCATTCAATATCATTGTATTGAATTTCTTGTTCAATTTGATGTAAATTATGCTGCTTCTTTTGAGAATCTATCTTTTTTTCATTGAGTCTTTCATTCAATGATAGCATTTCCTTTTTTATGGATTGAATTATCGATTTCAACTTAAGATTCTCATCCTAAAAGCCTTTGGTTTCATTGTCTAATTTCTACGTTTTAAAAATAAGTTCATTCTGTATCTGCTTGTATTCCCCTTATTGTTTGACACCTTATTATTAGATTTCAGAAACCTGATTCTACAAAGATCTAATATCCTATAACAGGCTTTTGGATTAGGTATCCAACTCCAAGGCTTATTGAGCCAATTGGTCTCTCTTCTATTTGTAAGCTGTTTCTACACTGAGTCTAATGTATTTGTCTTCGCAGATTTCACACAATCGTCTGAAAGTGGTAGGATTACTGGGATCCTTTCTTTTCTTTTTTCCATGTTCTTTGCATACCACATTACCACAGAATTTGCATTGTGTCAACTTATGAATAAGTGAGGCACTTTTGTGACAGATACAACATTCATTTTTACCTTATTTGAGTTCTTTTAATTTATCATCACTCAAGGTACATCTAAAGATTGCTAATGTAATATTCTAGTATGATTACATTCATTTTGATTGACAAGATCCAAGTCGTTGGCTTTCCTGAGAAATTAATTTTTCTCTGTTTCCTTTTCCATCTAGTCAATTGAAAAATTTGAGGGAACTTCATCTTCCTCGATAGACTCCAATTAGGTTGACATATTGCTGGTGGGACTTATGTTCTTGTATTTCTTGATGATGTCCTCATACGAATTATTATCGACTTGAGTATTAGCTCTTTCTCGATTATCTCTCATATAATGAAAAGTATTTTTATATAATAATTCATATCATCTTCTGCAAAAGTTGAGTAATTTATGAAATATTGTGATCCGTCTTTTGTATAGATTGAAATAATTGATGTAGATTGTTATTATAGAATTTGATGACAGCCAAGTGTTGTTGTAATTGTTTTAAGTTCTGAATTTTGTAATCATTTTATCTGATCACATCATCCTATTGATAGCTAGAATAGTACTGGTCACTACTGGTTGTTGTTTTGGGTTTCTTTTGTGTTTGCAATATCTAATTTCCATTGAAGAATTACCTTGACAAAGATCATTAGTTCTTATTTGCTATTTCTCAATTGCATCAACCGTTATTCTCTGTTCTATATTTCTAGTTGCAATTCATCATTTTTAGTGATCATATCACAAAACTCTATCACTTTAGATTTGTTTTTATTGAGATTTTCAATGCCTAAATCAAGTAATTATGAAACAAGTTCCTAAGTGTGAGAATCTAATGGATCTTCCACCTTTCCAGTCTTCAACCTTACAAACTTAATTCTGGTATCGCTGGTCTCATTGATGAGACTACTGCTAATTTATAATTGTTTTTTGTTGGTATCTTAAATATAAGAAGTATCAATGTTAGATAATATCCCTGCAGATGTTGGCATGTTTTAGATGAAGGTAAATCTTCTTTATGATTACTATTACTATTATTATTATTGTTATTTCTTCTCCACTTATTGTTTCTTCAACTCGATCTTCTGTTTTAACTTAATCTCTCCTAATTTCTCATTGCAATCTTTGACCCAAATCACTTACTCTTAAATCAATCGATCCAAATTCTTAGAATGCTATACCAATTACTAAGCCCTATCGTTGCAATCCTGATTTTATTGACATAACTTCCAAATGATATTGATTCTCTTCATTTCTTGTTGGATTACCTATAAGTTCTCCTGTTGTTTCTTCAACTCTTCGGATTATTTCTTAGTAGTTTCAAGAGCCTTCTGAGTCTCAGCACTCAACTCATCTGGATACAGATTCTATCGAATTGTTTTGTACTCCTTCAATCGATTCTTCAAAACCTAACTAAAATAATAGTGATACCAATTATACTTTTAGTAAACAATTTAATCTAACTTCTTTTGATATTACATCTTCTATATGCTGGGCAATGTGCATTTCTTTACACTCCTCTCAGTCGATTTGGTATGTTCAGAGTCTGCCCTAGTCTTTGGAATGTTAGTGATTCTCGATATCTCCAATGGACTATACCTTCTTAATCTGATACTCGAGTTTATCGATGGTAATTTCGATGCTAAAAAAGCTCACTCACATTATTACTATTATGCTCCTTCATTTGCTATGTCTGTTTGGCAATTTAAGCCAATTTGATTGCCTTCTGGTTGAGTTACAACTCATCCTGGAGAGGCATGTTATTGATGCTGTACTACTCCATTAATTTTGAGTAATTGTTCTTCTGAGTTAATGAGAGCCAAGGAAATTACACCCAAACCCATCTTTTATAATAATAGAATTGTTGATTTCTTGTATTCCTTATTATTTTATCTAACACATTTTCTTATTTAGTATTGATATATTCTTACACTAACCCTTAATCAAATTGACTCATATAATAATTGATAAAATAATCTCGATTCGCCTTAATATCCATATTCAGAGTGTCAATATTAGTGATCTAAGAAGCAAAGTATTCTTCGTTCATTATCTTCTTCTTTTTCTTAGCTATCATCTTTAACTCCTTCAATTCATTATACAATCCTATCTCATCAAAATCAATTGATTGTCCCCTTAACTATGGGTGTTTGTAAGGTGGTGTATGATCGCTACAATCATTATTGACATTAATTACTTCTCAAAAATACTATACTCCCTCAGAAACCTGCTGATCTGTAGGATTATATAAAACAACCCTTCGTTTGTAGGTTTGTAAAAGGCCTAGAAATTATCGACTGCCTTATTGTATTCCATCACCAAATCGTAGCCATTCTACTCCAGAGTCTGCCATAGATGACACAACTCAAATTTATGATAGGGAGTGCAATATAATAAAAAACTCTCAATATTAATCAGCACTTCCTTCAACTTGAAATATCTCTTCCCTTTAGAATATTGATATATCAATTCTTCCAATTTCCTTATCGAATTCAGTGAATGTTCAATTACCATTATGAAAGATTAGAATAACGTCTTATTGTGGGGAAAATAACCACTCAAGACGTTTTTGAAAACCAAACTAAATATACAATAAATCTGTTGTTTCTCCATCAAAAAGACCTATATAATATTAGACACGGTTACTTTGAAAAATTCATAAATAATCAAGAAATGTTATTTCTCACAATTGCAAATTAAGACAATTTCTTCAATGGAAATACCTTTAAAGACATATGTTAAAACATTTAACATTTATGAATAATGTATTTCTGGATAGTATTTCAAAAAAGCAGAGATCAATAAATTATAAAAGTCACTCTCTTATTTAACATCTACTTCTAGTTGAAATACCCTTACTTTCAAGATGCATAAAGATATCTTTGTTGATGCTTTGAAATTCATCTGCCGAATTCGTTAAGATGGCTTCGAAACTCATACTAAAGAGAGTTTATTCTTATAATTTACGAGGCAGTTTCCTATACATTCGCTAATATCTATGAAAATGTATTTTTACATAGAGAGAATCAAATGTAATTAGGCGTTCCAAGTATTCATTCTTACTCCAATCACTTGCATAATGTTCAAATTTACATATTTATAATCGATCCACCTTAAGTCTTGTAATATTCAAATGCCTTTGAATCAGTTTTACCAGTGACTATCACCTTGATGTTTTCTGGGAGAACTTTGGGTAACCAATAGGATACTCTCACTTCTCCATTTGAATCTCTGAATCGATCGATACCCTAAAAGATTAGAATTAGCTTGATTTTATAATAATTTGGTACTCTCTTATACACACATTTGGCTTCACAAAAGACTTGATTTTGCAATTCCCTATTATAGAATTCTAACCAATATTAAAAGAACTACTTTAATTTCTCACCTTCTATTTCCACCCTCTGTGAAATATTGAACTATGCCTATTTTCAATTAACAACCAATATACTTTCAATCTAGATAACACATAATATATTGCATGGTGATAATTCTAGTTTTCATGTTCTACGAAATAGGGTATAATCAAATCTTTCTAAATCATGCATTCTCTATGTTTACATTCATTTTCTTTATCCAATGAGATATCAAAAATTAAATATCGTTTCCATCCTCCTCACTAATAAATAAGGCTCTGTTTGATTTTTGCTTGTACATCCACTCCTCTATTTGAAAACTGAATTCCTCCAAATTATCCGGCACTTAATGTTTCAAACAGTTTTCAACTATCAAATCGCTCTTACTTTCAAACATAATAAAATAATTATTAAATTCAATGAATTTAAAGATATGAAGTTTGTTACTTTAAGCAATACTCATATAAAAACGAATTGATAAATTTCAGGTGTTTTCTCCTTAATTAAAACTCTATGTCATCTTTTATATGATTATCAGAGAATCTCTCACATTCAACATTATTAATCTATAAAACACATAATTGGGTTATAAAGTAATATCAAGAATTAAGTGGAGTAGAGAAACTAAGAGATGATGATCAATCGCCATAGGAAATTCAAAATACAATAAGATTCACAATATTTACATAAAAGAAAATAATATGGATTTTAATAGTAGAAGCATAACCAGAAAGGTTAAATCTAAAATAATAAATACTTTAAAAATATATTAGATCCAAAAAGATTGAAATTAAAATTGTAACAATGAGAAATAATAAAATATCAATATATCAAATTAAATTAGTTTACATATTTTTTATCAGCAATACAAATAGTAGAATACTATAAAACAATACTTATGTGAAATATAAAATAATATCAATGTATAATTGAAATAACTTTATATGTCAGTCTATTTCAATGAATTTATGAGTCACTACTATAATAACTTATATTTTGGACATCTTTAAGCTAGTCATTCAATCTATTGTTCTCTTCCATTAAAGCGAGATTGCTCTTAGATAATCTATCAATTTATTACTATTATTATTTAACTAAATTATAAAAATCAATACCTATTTCTAAAAGTTTAGAGTTTTGCATTTTAAGTTATTCTTATTCGAATTACATTAACTGAAATTCAGAAATGGTCATCTTTTGTTAAGATATTATTTTCTAATTTTCAAATTCCTATACTTCTTTTTCTAATTTTTAATTATATTCCTTCAACTACTTATTTTCAACCTTCAACAAATCAATTATTTCATTTTAACTTTGTCCCTGTCCCATTCTACCATTATAATTACTAGTATTCAATTGTGGTTATTGATTCTACTTTAACAAGCGTATAAATTCTTCTTATTACACTATTTATTCATTTAATTTCTAATTTTACCCTTTGAATGCTTATAATTCTTATTGTAAAGCATTCACTCTTGTTGTTTAGATTTATAATTCTGTAGATATCTTTTAATTCTACAATTCTATTTGCTACTTTGATTCTATGGTGTCCATTTTATTTTTTGTTTAAAAATCATTGTGATTCTAATGTTTCTAACCATTTAATACAGTTTTTTAATTGTCTGAGTATATCTTTTCAGTATAATCTTATGAATTATTGAATTAAGCATGAAAACTTTTAGTTATCAAGTAAGAATCAGAACTTTTATCAAAAGACATCAGTTTTTCAAATTCAACTAATTAAGTATTTTAATTGAATATAGTCTTATCCTTAATAAGTAATGCATTTTCAAGATCTTTAATTTTTAATTATAATTCTTAATTTTCACTCTCGTTGTTTCTAATTAATTATTATAACTCCTAAATCTTTTTCTTAAAATTTTAACTCTTCTCCTGTTCATTATCTAATTCTTTACTTAAACAATTATTTTGTTGTGCTTACTACTTAAGTTAAAAATCCTTTTCTTAAATGCAAGCTGTGAGATCCTGAGATTCTAATAATAATTATTTACATCTCATTTCAATTTCAATATTCTTTTATTACAACTATTAAATAGTTTAGTTCAATATCGAATTGGATTTTATTTACTCTTGTTTTTCATCAATTACACTATATGAACTTAATTAGTGTAATTTAAGTTTTAATTCATCAATCTCTTAATTAGATTACACCTTTTATTCCTGAACCTTCAAGGACAAAGATTGATTTTCCTTTCTTAAGGTTTCAATTTCTATCTAGGTTGACTATTAAGCCTTTAATATCTTTTAACAATCTTCAATCTTTTACTATAGTTTTACCTATGATTCATTAAGTTCCTTGTGCAACTTTTAGATAGTACCTTAAAATTTTGAATTTTCACTCAAAAGATCATTAATGACTATTTTTTATTGTTACTTCTCCTATTCTAATTTTTGATTTCCTATTTATTATTCTGTCTCTCTATTACCTTCTTTGCTTACAAATCTAGATGAAGTGGTCAATTTCAATTCTTAGAGTTCGAAATATAAAGTATTTATTTATAAAGCCTATGCTTTATTTTATTAAATTAATTATTCAATTTAATTAGTCTTCTTCTAGAGTTCATCTTCTTATTGCGTGATTCTACTTTAACTTCCATATGGACTCACCCCTACCGACATTTGAGTGATTTATTAATCTTTATCTTTTAATTGTTCGATTAATTTAGAGATTTATGTCTCCAATCTAGTCTTGATCGAATTATGAACTTCGCTAATATTTTAATTCTCTTATCCTAGTTTATTAATTATCAATTAAAGATCTTCATTGCTTTATTAATAATTTGTTGAAACTATCTTCAATTGATGAGTCTTCTCAGCCAATTAAATTCTTAATTAATTGATGAGTTACTACGAGTCATCTGAATCTTGGTTTTATCTTTTAGAATAGCTCTAATTGATTTGATCAATCATAGATTTATCTTGAATAGTTGATCTATAATTTGCAACATCTTGCATTAATTTGCTATTTTCTTATTAAAGAGCAAGAATTTGTAGTTTTAAACTTTTGACTAATGAATCTTCATAAGTAGATTACACATAATCCTGACCTGACTTCATATTATTTAATCTATCAATTTCGAGAGATAGCTTCTCATTATTTGCTATTTTGCTCTATAGTTCTTATTAAAGAGATTAAATTTTATCATTAAACTGAGCTCTAGCTTTTTCAAGTAAATGCTTTAGCTCTTAGTTTTCTTATTAAACTAATTAATCTTTATTAATTTATTTTTTTAATTATTGATTTTCAAGATGAAGTAATTCTTTTTGATTCTCTAAAAGTTTATACTCCTTGCCCTCATATATCTTGGACTCAAAAATGCTTTCATTCATTGAGATATGACTTTGGCTTAGATCTTTAAAGATATTTTATTGATTTTACAATTTCAACATCTATTCAGTTAAATTTTGATTCTATAGCTGCAACTATGCTATTTACTATTTCATTTGAGTTTCAGCACTTTATGGAAATAGCCTGAGTGTTCGATTCTCTTCTTATAACTACATAACCTTTTATTTTAATTCAAAAATCTAATTATCTTATTGTTTGATCTTTGAAGTATGGTATTCTTTTTCTTAGATCAAAATAGTCAATTCTTAATCAATTTATTTGTTTTCCTTGTATAAGTCATCTGGCAATAATTTATTCTCTAACTTATCTACTTTTTAGACTTGGCTTTAGTATTTTAGTAGTTCTACCTCAAATTGCTTAATTTTTTCTTATTATTGAGCATCTCTTTGTAACTAGAAATCTAATCTTGATTAAACTTCCTAGAATCTTCTCTTCTAAATATTCAATTACTCTTCAAGTTATTTATATTGATCACTGCAAATGATATTTGTCATATTAACAGAGAATGATTTTGAAGTATTAAGATCTGCCAGATTCTTAATTTACTCTTACAAATAAAGATTTTCTTCAGCTAATCTCTTATTTTACTTTTCCAATTATTCCTATTGTTTTTTGGATACGAATGCATCCTGTAAATCAGTTGTAGCTTTTTCAAGTTTTTTTTTAAGTTATTGCATTTCTAGATTATGCATGGATGACATTTATTCAATTTATTATTCTAATTGATTACTTAGAATGTTCTCATGCACATTTGAATTTTTAATAGATGAATTCATAATTTGTGAAATGTCTAATCTCTCCCTGATTGATCTAATTTCTTCATACAATTTGATATTTTCATTTAAATATCTTTTATTTGCATCACATAATTGTTATATTTATAAATCTTTATCCAATTGCTGTTTTTAAGGTTTTTGTGTCTTCTTTTTTTGTAATTCATCCTCTAGAATCTCAATTTTTTTTTGGAGATAAACATTTTCTTATTCGATTTAATCAAGTTTAGTTTATACTATAGGATCTTATATTTATGACATATTCATAGAGATACGACTCATATTCTTGAGCATTTCAATTTCAATTTATAATTCATTTATGGTTTTAGTTTAACTTTAAATCTCTTGCATCAGTTTTTGATTTGTTGAGATGAGTTTTTCTCTCTCAAATTCAATATTTAAATTTGATTTTTACTAATGAGTTTATTTTTAGACTTTGCTTAATTCATCCTGTAATTTTAATTTGTCTTGGTTTGATTCAGTTAGCAATTCCTAATATTGTTTAATCTGATAATTGTCTAAGATTTATGACTATGATAATGAGTTTTCAAATCTTTCATTCTTCTCATTCAACACTATGGTCAATCTTGCATTTTAATTCATTAAATCAGTTTCTCTCTACTTCAAGGAGAATACTTCATTCTTCAGAGATTGTATTAGTCTATCCAAACTTTCTATTTGATCTTTAGAAGATGTCTGTTATCTTTAATTTGATTCTACATTATTTATTACAAATTACCTAATTCTTTGTTCTCTCTACTTAATTTATCAATCGATTACTATTGCTTCTGTTTCTCATTTTATAACTACGTAATTTCTTACCTTAATTGATTTATTTAAATGGTTGTTCTCTGATCTGAACTAGATGGCAATTAGAGATTGGTCTATTGGATCTCAAGTTTCTTAGGGCCATATTAAGTTTTTTCATTGATCAATTATTACAATTGAGAATTCAATAGTTATTAAAAGTTGACTTGCTTCTGATTCATTTTGCCAATATTATACGCTATGAATTTGATATGAACTCTTCTTAAAGCTTACATACAAACAAAAAAAGCACAAAATGAATCTAAATGAATATTTATGGATACCTTTATCCTCTTTGCTTTTGAATTTCAAAGTCTGATTCATAAAATGTGCTTAAAGTTGGTTCTAACTTGGAAGCAACTATTAATCAGAATACATGATTTTTTATTGCTATGTACTATTTTCTAAACAATCAAGAGAGAATATCCAATTTTAATCGTTGGCTATGATTTATTATCTAAGTTTATCCGTTAGGTTACTTCATGTTATTATGATATAATTGGGAAAGCTTGATTTCCAATTGAGAGGAAATTTGAATTTTTTGAAATTCCACAATTGCTTACCCTTCTTATCCAGATTCAAATGATTGCACATTAGCTTCTATTCTATAACCAATATCGAATATGCTGCATTGATAAATATTCCCCTAACTTTCAATTCTAATGCGTTCGGTGTCACATATTTTGAACCATTGAAATTTGCACCCAATAGGTATTTTTGTGTTTTTGGATGTAAATGCATTGATAGTGATATTGGAACTTTCATTTAATTGAGAAGCAATAATATCAAGGTGATAGTTAATGTTTCCCTTAATCTAATAATTCATATAAATAATGTTTATACAAAATGATTCCAATTTTTTCATTAAACCAAATGCCATTGTGAAATTCTTTAGATAGGCTAAGCCAAAGACAGTTGAAACCGATAGAAAGAGAACTAACTATATTCCAACTAAGAAAACACAATAAATGAACATTTTGCATTTCTCAAAACCAGTGCTGTTATTATCAGTACCTGAGGATGCCAACACAATGAGGAATCACAATTATACTTGTAGGAGTAGTACAGGATGTGCAAGAACTCCAAACAGAAAGAGAAATTTGATCACTTCTCCTAAGGAATCTCGTCTCGGTTATAAAATATTACATTACTAAGAACAAGAAGTGCCATATGAGATACATAGTCAAATGCCCGTTTCATAGATTAATCCTAAATTTATCATATAACAGAAATAAGGTGGTGCCATTAACAGGCTTCCCAATTTCAAATTACAATTATTCAATTAATTACCGGGCTTAAGATAATAGTTGGAATCATGCTGATATTTGTAAATCAATGACTTAATTTTTGATTCTTATAAATTATTATAATCATTCAATATCAGCTAGCAAGTCTTCTTCCTCATTTTGTAATTAGTCCACCATTTACTAATGTTTATTATCTTCCTTGTTCAAGAACTAACTATTACAATCATATATACATCTTAAGCCTCCTCAGCAGTGACAGAGGATTTATGATTTTCAATATCACTGATCAAAGTGATTCCTTATTGCACTATCTGAGCCCAAAATAATTACTGATTGTATTTGTCCTTTAATACAAATAGGAACTTATTGAAAACAGGAGCTTCATCTTCTGAAATACAAGCCTTCCTCATCTCCTTTAAGCATTCCAAAGCCTTAGGGAAGAAACTTCCCTTCACTGATTAATCAACTAGTGCATTAATAACCTTCTGAATTTATTGAAGAGCAGAGTCGACTAAATCAACCCTTTTTTCAGTGATCATTTTCTTAAAATCAGAGATAGGATCCACAGAACCTATTTCTTATATTATATCATCATTGAATCCAAACTTCTATTTAGCAAACATGTTAACCATCTCTTCCTCTTCTCTATTGATTTCTACTATTTCCTCCTCTATCTATTCTGGAACCTATTATTATGCAGTTTATTCATCAAATAATTACTTCCAAAATACCTTTTTATCTTACGGCTTCTTGATATCGTTTACTTTGAATTTAAATGCATTTTTCACTCTCTGTATAGCATCTTAGGCATAATTATATACTCTCCTTTCAGGATGCAAGTAATCAAGAATTAAAGGTGAGATTGGAGGGATGACATCGGTTCTTGTAATGGCTTTATGCATAACCACTTATTAGAAATATTGTCTAGTTGGATTTGCAATGTATTTCATTTTTAATAGTTCCTCTGGCTCTCCTGATTCATTTGGGATAGTCTCTAAATTCATTTTATCAATCAACGTAGCTACTGCTGATTATTAATTCGGAGTGGACTTTCTTAAAGTAGAGAATTGGAAATGTCTAATATCTTCAGAAGTGGGTAAAGAAATCATCCAGAAACATTAATAACTCTTTGATTTATGGGGCAATAACAACATTAATTTAGGAGAAGATTTTTATCTACCAACGAATCTTGCAATTGCAACTTTTTTAGTGGCAATCAAAGCGATTATCAATGCAGACAATGATTTCCTAGCCTTTTCACAATCAATAGCTATCACCATATCTACATTGAATATGAAATAATGTCGAGGGATTTAAGATCTCTCTACGAAACCAAGCAATTAAAATGATCTATTACATTAATACTTCATCTTCTCTTCCATGAGACTATCAACAGGAATTAAGTTTCTTCCATATTGATAGCCCTTAATGATATTTTCCCTCTCAATAGGATTCATATTGGGATCTTCTGGATTGTAATGAATACTGTCATTTCTAACAATGTTTCTAGTTGGCTCACTACTATATTCTCCAATAGCTGAATGTTTCTTTAAACTAGGTAATCTATCCTCTGCACATCGCTTATAGATTAATACTTAAATGGATGTTTCATCATTTATTTAGAAATCTCCTCTAAATGATGCTCTTGCTTGCATTTATTTTGTATGAAATTGTGAATATAATTCAAATGCAATATTGGCTGGAAATATTCTCATATGATTCCTAAGTTCTTAAACCATTTAATAAATCAAACGAGAATTTATTGATTGTTCTTAATGTTAGTAGACAGCATTAAGCATTCGATCATTTAAGGTAGCTTAATTCTCAGGTTTGGTCGGATCATCCAATTCAACATCATATTCATTCATAAAATCCATGGCTATGAAATTGATTTTCACATCTACTTTTTCAATCATCTTAATTAACTTTCCTATTTTTTTCTCATTATAATCTGTCTATCCGAACCCTGCTGTTAGTACAAATATCTTCTTTTCCATCTTCTTCGCCTTTACGTATTCATCCAAAGTACTAACTGCTTTATCCAATGCATCAAAAATATCTCCGCCCTTTATTTTAGGAACGTCGTGATTTGGTAATTCTGTCAGATTTCTATAGAATTCTAGATCTGGGGGCGACATTACTTAAATATAAAAAGTATTCCCGTCCTCAGCCTCTTCTGTTCCAAACAGAACCAATCCGACTTCATGATTTTTGTAATTAAAGATTTTTTATTAGATCATCATTCCTATACAATCAACAGCTAATTCCAATCTTGTGATATTCTTTCCTTGAGCCTACTTGTATGGTTCATACATTGAGGCACCCACATCCAATAATACTAAAGTTGCTTCTTTTCCTGCCATCTAAATATATTATCAGATGTTAATAATAATTGAATATAAATTAATTAATCTATTGACCTATTATACTCTTTATTATTAATAATGTAATTTTTGAAGTCCTATCTCACAGATTATATCAATACTTATGTGTATGAGTATTTTGATAACATTTCCAAGGAGCAGATTACGACTCAATTGACTAAGGGATAAATTCAATTAAACAACATGTAATTCAAGCCTTCCATTTTTAAAAAATTCAATTTGCCACTTATAATTAAAGAGAGCATGATCAATAATGTGATTATTACTTTAGGGAAATCATCTTCTATCAAAATTGATTCTCTCAATATTGTAATAGAAATACTAAATTTATATGGAAATTTTGTTATGGAAAGTGCTATTAAATTATAAATTCTTGATAAATTTCGAAATTCCTTAGTCGAAAATCTCCTAAAAGGAATGGCAGCACAAGATAAATAACAATAAGACCCAAAGAAGAAGTTTGTATTTAATTTGATCCAAAACGTCGAAGTTGAATTAAATAGTTTAAACATCACCTTCATAGATAAGTATTGCACTGAGAACTCCTTTGGTGTCAAATTATAACATTTAACCTGTAAATCCTCTCTGAATCCCAATCAAGCCAAATTAAGGAACATTGAAATCAATAACCTACAACTATTTTGGCAAGATACAATTACTTAATTAAATGCATATGCTACTCTTGAAGATGTGGCTGAACAAGACTCAGAAAATCTATCCTTCTAATTAGGCATAGTATTCGATTAGCTAATTTTTAATTGCTCTAAAACTCAGTGTAATTCAATTTATCTATTCTCTGATTATGTATAACAATTTACATAGAGATAAAACAAATAAGTAGAGAGGAGTTCAAATAAAGAAGATGATCAAAATGTCAAAGGGGAGATTAAAAATATTTTGAAAACCATCTCTCTATTAGAGTAGTCAACTGAATGTTAAGAATATGAGAGATTGTGTTAACTAGTGTAAACTTAATCAATGAATGATCTAAAACAAATACAATTTGAAATTTTGAAATACGATAAGGGAGACGAGATAGTTTAATTGAGAAAAAAGAAATTGGGATGGTTTGGAGGGATGGTCAAAAATGATAAAAAAATGGGAGAAAAGATTGTTAATATACTTGATGAAATAGATTAAGATCCCGATTTTGATCTAAAAAGTCTTTAACTCAAATTTGAATTGGTTGTAAACTCATGCTAAATAGGGTTATCATCTAATTACAGGAATTAATTGAATAAATTGATCTTCGATATCAAAAATGTCAATTTGCTGATCAATAAAACTAATTAATTGCAATTGGATTTCACAGTCAAGTAAGGAGATGTTCTCTTGTAATTCTAAGATCAAATCAATTATTTAGTATCCAAAAATAAAAATTTTGAAGAAAAATACAGTCTAGAATTGCATCACACAAATGATGAAAAGAAAGAAAGCCTCTTTATATAGACATGTCCATTCCAAATCATTTTTAATCAATAAGATTTTGAAAAATACTATGATTTATTTTATTTTTTTGTTGTTTCAGAAAGTCAATTACCGAAATTAACAAGGAAAGCTAAGCAACAAATAAAAGAAATAGTAAGCGATAAAAAAGAATAGGATATTTAAATTAAATTAGAAAAAGTCTATTTACTCTCAACTAATGGAAAGGAAACCTTTCTTTTTAGTCCAGGATCCATTGATTTTAATTATAAAACTCAAAATCAATCAGTTTACGAAGTTAAAATATTTGATACAATACTTGGCTTTTCTGAAAAGTTCAATTCATCTATTGACTTTATACATCAATAATACTGTTTCAACAGCATCATAATGTCCAGAGATTTTGTCAAGATAACAAATTGTGATGTAGGATTAGTAATTAAAGTGTAAGATAACTAGATCAGTACTGAAATAGAATTAGGAGACTTAAATTTTAAGATCAATCCTACTATTTATAAATATTTTTATTAATTTTATGGAACTCATTTTCAATAACCATTAAAAGAAATGAAAAATCAACTTAGAGGAAATGAAGAGAATTAACAAAAGTATTGTATGTTTAGTAATGACTATGTCAAAGATTAAATTAAATGTAGAATGACTTTTCAGGGCAAATTCATTAATTTGTATGAATTTGAGAAAGACGAGAAAATCATGAAGATAGATTTATAAAATATATCATATAAATAAACCAAAATTAAATAGCAATTAAGTCTTGAGTTAACTACAAATAATTAAGTTATAACTTTGGCTTTTGCAAATGAGGAGGACAGACAAATAGTTGTGAATAAATGTCAAGTCTCTCGGAATGATGATTACTATGTATAAAATATTTTGGAATAGGATGGTAATAAACCTGTAAATAATGTGCAGAATTAAAAATAATAGTAAGAATTCTAATCATTTTTTTAAATAAAATTAAATAGTTTACATGCTGTAGTGTTAGCAAATGAATAAAAACCATTTATCAATATTCAACTAACTTATTTAAATTTGACTAGTTTTGGAAATCAATTTAATAATAAAGTAACACTGTCATTTTAGAACTTTGCAATTACTAGAGATTTTTATTAAGAAATGAATAATTTTGAAAATTAGACACTTCTGGAGATTAAGAGTGACAAAGGTGCAACAATAATTGAACATCAAGTAATTTATTATTTTATTTTTATTCTAGATTTTAGATGGAAATTCTATTCTTAAACTTACTCTTTATTACTGTATTCTGAACTATAGGGCTAAAACAATAGGGTCCATCCTGGAGTAATACCCAATCGAGTTAAAAAAGGATTGGAATATTACTAAATTCATTATTAATTCCTATTTGACTTAGTATCCTGATCTTTAGATTATTTGTAACTAATTGAAGGTTGAAATTAATAAGAAATATGTTCTGTATAAATAAAGTGAACTAAAATCTATTTCATTTAAATAGGAATACATTACTATTATGTTTATGTAGGATAGTTTAGATGAAGATTGCTTATAAGTGAAAGGTATTCCTAAAGGAATTCTAGTCGTTGATAATCAATCTGAGATGACCATAGATATCAAACTCTATGATGCCTAAGCAATATTTGCCTAATAATATACATTATAGACAAGCAAATTGAAGAAAAGGAGCACTAAAAGAGTACTATTGTCTTCTTGCAATATAGATTTTGGGTGGAGAGTCCTCTTTCAAAAAGATGTGATAAAACACTATATGAATTGTAAGACAAATCAGTTGAAATTTGCATTTGGTACCAGAGATATAAGCTATTTGATTAAAGAGATTTAAAAATTATCAACTCAAATCACTGAATTCTATGCCTCTCATGACTTAGCAAGTTATCTCATTTAATATAGAGATAAGACCTATTCATTGACAACTGGAGTTGAATCCTAAATTCAAGCTGTATTCATAGATGATTTATTCAGTTAATCATTGCCAATAGTTGGATTCACTTTTACCCAACCACTTTGGAAATTAGAACTAAATCTAAATGATATAAATTTTCATATTAGAAATCAATTTGAAGCTGTCAATTATCATTCAACTAAACTAGCATGGGAACCTATCATAGAACCTATTTTATTAGATCTCAATCTAAATATTTAAAGCTAATAGCCAACGATGCATTTAGACTTTTATATACAAGATACTTGCCATATCAACATATCAACTGAATTCCTTTAGAATTTATTTAAATTCAAGAAGTTAATAAAATAACGTAAAGCCAAAGAGCTGAAACAAATTTATGAATCAATTAATTAAAGTAATAACTAAATACTCACTTACGAAACTTATGAAATATAAAATTTTAGTGGTTTGTTGATTATTGCAAGAGGTCCAGATATAGAACCTATAGAATTGTCAAATAATTAGAAATAAATCATAAGATGCAAAGGAATATTTTAATTAGAGTTGTTTGGAGTGAATTCTACTATAAAGATAGACAATTGGTCTTTTTAAGTCCAGAAAAAGAAAATAATAAAAGAGCAAGGTTTCTCATTAATTATTGAAACAATTGTAGATGAATTTATGAATTCTTCAAAGACAATTATTACTAGCTCTATTTTATTAATAAATTTGAGCCCTATTGATTTATAAATTAAAATCTCGAATTAAGAAATTATCAATTTAACTAAAGGTTTAAAGTAAGAATAATTTCAGAAATTTCAAAAGTACGATAATATTTACATCATACCAAATCAAATGTCAAAAGGTTGGTTGTGCTTAGTTTAGGATAAACTTGCCTCTGAATCTTATAATTATTAGGATATTTCTTAAAAAATAAAAAAAGGAAATTCAGAAATATTGAATCTGAAAAATAAGTACTTTAGATTGAAGTCATTACAAGATCCTATAATGATGGAGAGATCAATAATTTCAATTACTCCAGTGGTAGAATTCATCAATCAAACGCCTTTTAACATTTCAATTGATAAGCACTGTCCTGAAATCAAACAATTTCTGAATTTCAATATCATGTAAAAAGAAATAATTGAGGATTGCGAAATCAATCCTTCAAAAGATTACCTATTTAGTTTCAAAATTGACCGATATTATCAATCAATACAATATACATTTGATGAATTAATGAAAGGGAGGTAAGTTTTGTTGGAAGATGAAAAATGGTAATTAAACGTAGATAGAAGATAATTAAATGTAATTTTATTAATCAAACCAACTGTAGACAACTATGGAAGACATAGACTTGCTATTCAATTTAATTCACCTTACTTAATTAACAACACAGATTTAGATCTAATATTTTATCAAGGTACTGAAAAGAGCTTAGAGCTTTTGGGAGGGTAAAAGTATAATACTTCTCTTTAATTGATTGTGCTTGAAAACATCTAAGAAAAGTAAAATCTGGTTTTTGAAGAAAGAAATACCAATTTAAAATCATAGCCAGTAGTTTTGTCAGATATCATTAAATTAGAAACTATGCATGTCAAAAAGAAAGTAAATCATTCTACTTAATTTCTTCCAATTCAAATAGAAAAATAATTTATACAATATGGAGATTACACAGTTCCATTCTTTTAACTATTTTACAAATACGTTGCTTTCAATAAATTGGCTTCACCAATTTATATTTGTTTTGAAGATTAAATAATCTTGTTGGAATCCCATATTAAAAAACCTCTATAATTTTAGAATCAGGAACATTTAAACAATCCTGATTTCTCTTATGAATGTTCTGTAAAACTGAATTTTGATGATATAGTTTTATAAACAGCAAGATTCAGCATTATGGTTCAATAACAATTTGTTGTCCTTGTTAGGTCAGTGAATTTATAGATAAGAAGGTTTTTAAAAATTACTATTTTGGAGTAAAATAATGAAAATTTTTTGATTATAGATGATATTCAAAATCAAAAAGATTATCCATATATGGTAATTAATGAATCGAAATCCTTATAAATATTATTAAAAAGTGACAATGAAACCCTATCTTGTGGAGATCGATATCCATTAGCAAAAACTCATTAAACTGACAAAGAATTTATTTATCCAGTTAATCTAAAAATTCAAACTAGGAGTTGGAATAATCCAATTTAATTTGCTTTAAAGTTGGATTAGGTTGGCTTAGCTGGAAATCTTGAGATTAATGGATAAAAGTTCGATTATGCTGTTGTTAAAGTAGGCAATCAAAAATAATTTATTGTTAAGGACTTTTAACAAGCATGGTAAAGTTAAATATAACAATAAATATAGTAAGAGAAAATTAAATATCATTTTGATCTTAAGACTTAAATAGTCGGCTGTTCAATTTCTTATATTGAAAATCTAAAAAATGATTATAAAGAACTACTTATTTGTTTCTTTGATAATATCATTATGATTTATTCATCGAATGAACTTAATTAAAAATAGATAAATTTTAAATTGTAAAAGATGTAAATAGATGCATAATCTAAGAAAATGTCTGAATCAAAAACTATTTTATTTTCTGAGGTTTCATAACTATAAAATTCTATGGAGTTTGAATTTAAATTAAGCGCAGCAGCTTCATCTTATTATTATTTGGATTTAGTTAAAATAAATCTTGGAAATTTTCAATTTTGCATGGATAAAGTATTACTAAAAAAATAAGAATAAATACAAGGCTAATTTTATGAATATTTAAATTCTTAGCGCACTATGAAAGAGAAAGGTAATTACATTTATAAATTGCTTAACAAAAAAAAAGTTGAAAAGGTAGTCTAAAAAAATTAATTGAAATAGATAAATATATATGTGAGAAAGTTAATATTGTGCCCAATGAAAATGAAAATTTCTTATTTGAAAGATAACTATTAATTAGAACGATAACATTTTGTTAAAGAGAACTTTTAAAGCACGCCTTCTAATCTTGTTAATAGAATACTTATGTAATATGTTATTGGAGATTCAAAGTTTTTGTTTAATGTGGTAAGTTAATATTTGACCAATAGACTTATGATCAATCTGGTAAAATTAACTAACTGGAACGAGATAAGAATAAAAAGACCAATATACGAATCAACCAAATTGTATAAGGTTTTCAATAAATAACAAGCTTATCATCAATAAAAATTAAAGGAAGCGAAGAAATGTGATTGTAACAAATAAATCTCTAATAAAAAATTTCATATAATTAGTTCACATGAGGTTCTTTAGAAGGGATAAAATAAAATATTTTTTATATGCGAAAAGGAAATATTCTTTATTTATTAAAACAGCATTTAAAATCTTTTGGAATACTCAGAAATCTAATTATTTTACTCTGAAGCAGAAATTTTGCACCTATATATAATTATCAAATAAGATTAACTAGCTCTATTATTTGAGGATTAGAATAATTTACAGATAGCAATGTAAAATTTGAGTAGATTTCAGAATTGATTCATATTAATATATATTAATTGTCACTATTTTTTCTTCTTACTTAATTTTGAATTCTCTAGTTGATTTTCTATTCAACGAAAGGCAACCAATAACTAATTCAAAGGGATAGAGTCTATATTATAGATAATTTTAAGACTTCATTTTGAAATACTAAACTGAAAAAAAAACATAAAAACGTAATTAATATTATACATAAATTATTCTATTAATGTAACATTCGCAATGGGTATGTCCTTTCCACTTAGGAAATGTTATTAAATATGTAAGCATCAAACCTAATATTGATCCATAAGAAATTTTGCTTTGTAAGGCCTGTGTTTCAGAAAGATTTGGTGGCTCTCTGGAAAACTTAAAATAGCTATCAGATGTATTAGAGGAGCTCAGGTAAAATGGTAATTAGTCCAAAAATGTGCTTGAATTCAAGGAAAAGTAGAATTAGGAATTTCGTCGAATAGAAGGTAAATTAAATGGAATTTTTGAGAGTCGACCATATCTGTCTATTTAAATTGGACAGAATTCGAGTTTATCAGACTTGAGATAGGTTATTTCTAATAGCTCTCAAAATAAATCAAAGGAAGCAGAATCCATCAAAAAAGAAATTAATTTATGGTAAAAAGAATCTGAAAAATTTTTTTTAAATCTTTGCAATGATATCAAAGCACTAAATAGATAAATTGAATAAGAATATAGGAATATTGATATTTCAATATCAGAATATGAAATGATGGGTGAAATATAGTATCATTAAATGTTTTAAGTATTTTTTATTGAACCTAATTGGGAAGACAACTATTTATTAATTGTAGAAAAGTAATCTATTGATATGATAACATTGGAAAACGATAAAATAAAATAGCAGAAAATAATTGAAAGTGAAACAAAAGCTAATATTACTTGTGCAATTGAAGATAAAGACCCCTCAAGATTTTTTGTCGGTTACCATGACGGATCATTTCAAGTATGGGAAAAGAATTTTGATGGGAAATATAGATCTTTTTATCAATAAAAAGACCATGGTTCTTCTATTCTGTCCATTATTCTATGTAAAAAGCATAATCTATTAATTACATAAAGTAAAGAGCATATTCACTTTTGGTATTACGATGGGAAAAGCTTAGGAAAGAGAAATATGTTCCCATATCAAAATGAATAGATGTCAATAGCTTACTTAAGTGTTAACTTAAACGATTCATTATTAGCTGCTGTTGTTAATGGTCAGACCATCGCAATTTTTTAACTTGATTAATGGCAATAATAGATATAACCTTTAAACAATAGAATTGATTAAGAGATTGTTGATATTTGCTTTATGAAAAATGATGGTTTAGCTGTTTTCCTAAAAGATTCTAAATTTTTCCTAATATATAAGTTAAATTTCCAAAACTAAATTTAATTAGCGTTACTTGAAAAATTGGACCTTAGGTATCTTTATACAACATATTAAGTAAAATTTAGGCCAAAATTTTACTAAGATATTGGAGTGCTTTAAGTATAAAGTGAGTAAGAATTATTATTCTTCGAAGAAGATTAAAATAAAAAAGTAATTGAAAAACAACGCAAATAAAACGATGAACAAGAAACGATAATTGAAAAAATAAAGAGAAAAAAATAAATGGTAAGGTATTATAATTTTGGGTAAAACTCACTTTATTTATCCCCTGAATTTGAAGGGACAAGCTTAAAAGTTGCAAAAATTAAATATCTTAAATGAGACCTCATTTTATAAAATATTTTAAAAGATAATAGTCTATAATTTATTATAATTAAATTCTTTCTACTTTTTATCACCTCAATTCATCAATAAAGTCAAATGTAGTGTGAATTATGCAGTTTTATCATTTCCGTTAAAAATTATACAGCCATCCAAATTAAACAACTCAACCTCTAAAGATTCTCGTAAATCTAAAAACTGAATATCTAATCTCCAATAATCATCTTCTGGATTTATAACAACTTCATCTCATTTCTCTTATAAAAATGTATAATTGGATAATTTATGAATAACTATGGATACAATAATTGGAATATGTGATATTTTAAGTATGTCTTTCAATAAGAAAGCCATTATAGTACCTTAGAGCAAATGGAAAACAAATGAAAAACTTAACTATTATTATTTGTTAAGCACAGCAAGAATAAGTCGAAGTTTACAAATAGAGTTAATAAAGACTGAATTTGGTGACCTCCAAGATTGGACATTAATATGAATAATTGATAATTAGACAAATCAATAAAATTATGATAGTTTAATTGAATTACTTTAATTAAAAATATTTTGAATATGTCATTTTTGAATAGGTTTAATAGTTGGAAATAATTTTTACATTGTGATTTAACAAATTTAACATAAAACGCTTGTACAAATAATGACAGAAAATACAATAAGATCGCTGTGATCGAAACTTGAATAGTAATAAAGATGTTACATTTCATCATTGATATTAACAATAGAAAGCCATCCTCTAGAGGGATTACTAAAGTTTGTGACAATTGCTATAAGTAAACATCCAAGTATCCAAATGGTCAAAGGATAATTTTAATAGAATTTAGCTTATATTAGATATGACACATTACTTTTAAAAGGATGAGATTGATATAAAATAATGCAGATGAGCATATTGTAATACTGATTGGCCAGCATCATTACTGAATTCAATGGGCCTTCTCTAGTGTAAGTTTCAATAGGAGAGGGTATAGGTTGTTCGGAGTGTTGCATCACAATAGCGGATAAAATGATACACCCTAAGGATGTAAAGATGAAGATATTGTAAAATTGTAATTGGTTTGGAATGGCAAATACATCATCATTTGGCTTTGATGTAGTCAATTTATCAGACTTAGAAGACAGAGTCATTAGAATTAAGACAGGAACACTTGACATGTAATTCATGAAGATATATTGGAAATCTCCAAAATTCATGCCTTGAAATTATAGGAGAGCAGTTCCAGCAAATTTTAAGACACTGATGAGTACTAAGTATTAGAATAGTTCAATGATGATCCTCTTGGTTGCTCTTCCTTAGAGTAGAATAGAGATGACACACTTAATGGAGTCAGACCTATTGCTGAAAGGAGATGTATATGAGGCATCTGAGGAACTAAAGGACACACCCACAAGTGATTCGGCTATGGCTGACTAAAAATCAAATGAGTATATTTTACACAATCGTTTGCTCCATCTCCCACCATCATGACATACTTATTCAGTTGATTCTATAAATATTAAACGATCTCTTTCTTTTGATGTGGTTTCATTCTAGAAAATATCTTAGTTTTTCTGACCACCTTATTCAAACACTCAATAGATTTTTGATCAATCTCGTCAATCTACTTTAATTAGTTATACTATTATATATCACTTGATTAATTCATAGACACCTCGTTCACTTTGTTTTGCATCAAAACACTCCACAAATTACCTGTTATGGCATAATTGCAATCACTATTATAAATTGCATCTAATTATGTCAAGATGAAATTATACTGCGATCCTGGTTTGCCATCGCATGAGGATCGACTAGACGAGGGGATCTATTGTCTTAAATCTTAAATCAATAAGGAATCAGTAGATTGATCATAATCTATAATGAGAGTATTGGATTTATTTTCTATTATTTTAGATTCAAATGCACAATGCGTTGTTGTTAGAGCATTGTCTCCAGATATGACTCTGATATCCAAATTGGAATCCAATAATTCCTCTATCACATGACTTGTGTCTTTCTTCAAACTGTTCTCTAAGGTAAAGATACCTGAAAAATTGATTTAATTCTCTAAAACATTTCTATCCAAATTAATCTAATCAGGAAGCAATGCCTTATAACCTAATCCAATCACTCTAAGTCCATTAAACGTCTTTATCTACAATTGTTCCTGGATAGTATTATTCAATTAATTAGCTGACATTTAAATCAATTTTTCAGGTGATCCTTTAATAAATAAAGTGTAACTGTCGTCATTTATATTATGAGCCACAACACTCATCATCTAAAGTTGAGAACTGAACTCAAAAATACGTATAATTTTAAATGTTTTTAGTTAATTAGTCACCTGAAAATACTTTTGATCATCAAAACTAATGTCCCAATTTGTCTTCTTAAACATTTCTAATTCCAATGGATCTCCCATTAGTTCATCTTTCACTATTACTAAATGATGACAACAAGCCATAATTCCCAAGATTTCATCATTTTGTGGATAATAATCATGTGCTTGCAACCCCAAAGTAGACAGAGTACCAGTTTTGTCAAAGCAAATTGTGTCAATCTTACCTGCTTCTTCAGCCTTTATGGGATTAGATCCCATTATATCTTCTGATTTCAACCTTAATAATGATATTGCTTGTGCCAAAGAGAAAAAGATTGGCAATGCCGGTGGGACAATCCAAGTAACTACATCTAAATATCTTAAATAAAAAGGTTATTTTACCTAATTATTATCAATTTTGATGAATAATTCATAAATTGATATTGTGTAAGATAGAGCAATGTGAAGATGGTTAGAATAATAAGACCAAGAATCACCAAAAATTTACAGGCTTAGAGGTAAAATTATCTGGAAGGAGGAGGTGGAAATATTACATTCCTAAAGTACTATCCTCTCACTGAACTATAGCCTGTCCTTATTACCAGAGCAATATTCTATTGATATTGAGACACTTAAATGACTTTAGTACCTTCAAATAGGGTATTCTAAGAAATCTCATTTGTTAATTCCGTAATTGACTATTTTGGAACAGGAATGGATTCACCAGTTAGAGTTGCCTCATTAACCATCACATCTCCAGAGATTAATATGGAATCACAATTGAGCTATTAGTTGTCATAGACATAGAATAAGTCTCCTACCACTAAATCACTTCCCTGTATTATTGAATTGTCCTTCAATGTCACTGACTATTGGATTGTTGCCAATTATTACAATTGGACTCTCGACCTTCTCATAAGGTAATAGTTGATTATGCAAGCCAAAAAAGAAAAGGATAGCAGGACGATTGCAAATATTATAAATCCTAAGTAGGTCGATAAATTATACCTTCTGCTATCCACAACAATACTGAAAAGTACTATAAGATGTAGAATGGACTTGTTAATTCCTAAAATAAATAAGTGAATATGGATTTTATGGGTATTTGCAATTAACTGTTCCCATAAATGATCTGTCTGATCTCTCTAGATCCTTGAGTATTCAACAATACATCTAATTTTTTGGACTTCTCATCATGAGACACACTGGACTCAACATAATTAACTGGTTAGAAGAAATTGTCCTTCAACTAATATTTAAGAAATCTGTTTAAAATTAAATAACCTTTACCTATATGTAAAATAGGAATTGTTGTTTATACGAATTTTCTTACAAACCATTTTCTCATTAGTTGAATTTGATACAAGGTAATGTGTACAATCGTATTCAGTTGTTTTGATGAATAGAAAATATTGATAAAGTCGTTGATTCCATTATAATATTAAAGCAAATGCGAAACATGACATTAAGGACAAAAGAATCTAATAGGTCAGCAATGTTTTACAGCTATGAGTAATCGGAATTTACTTATAATTACTGGTACAATCTCTGCTAATTAATGTTATCCTTCAACTTCAGAATTTTTAACTTTATAAAACATTATTGCAAAATAATTATTTTTATTATCACTAATGCTCAAGAACATTCTTTTACTAACCTTCATATTATCTACCTTTTAAGCAACAGACATCTACTTGGAAGAAGTTATGGATTGCGTCTAAAACACATGTGAACCCGCAAGAAGCAATTGTGGCATTGACACCGATTGTAGGTAATTGCCAATTCTAAAAACCATAGATTATCTTATAACAACTTTACTACTTGTATTTCAGAGAAGTCCAGTGAGTCAGAATATATCTAATGTAGAACCAATGGATATATGACATGGGTCAAGGTCATGGATTGTTATAATGATTGTCATTATTTTGAACTCTTCGCCGTACCAATATGGTTAACAATAGCTGCCTTTGCAATAAATATATGAGTTTATTATCTATGTATAACAATTCATTTAAGTATAATCTTAACTATGTCAATATAGAGGAATTTGCCTTCATTTTTTGGATCTATAAAATTTCAAATACTCATCTGCTTCATCCTCATTAAATCTATACCCCAAAGTGATCAACAATTCCTTTAATTGCTCACTCTAAATATACCGTGGGTTTACTAGATCTACTGATTTAAAGACCATTCCTTAAATGCTCTATTCTATCTTCTATCAGTTATTCTTCCCTACCTCTTTTCTTACTCACAAAAATGAACAAGGCAAATGATCTGATACCTTGAACTTCAATTCCTCTAACTCTTTATACAATTCGCTTAATTCTTATTCGTCAAAAACATAACCAATAGAGGTGAATAGTTCTTGCAATCCAGTGAAGCTAATTCTTTCATCATTTACTCTATCAAACCATTAAAAATTCTTTGTGTATTTCTTATCTTCTGCATCTGAAAAAGTCTATGAATAATGTAACACTTTAAAATTGTCATCAGAATGCAGATTGCTTTTGAGTCCTTCAATAATAGTTCTTGGATCAATTCATGATAAGCCATCAATGAGTAAATCTTTTTCCTTTTATCTGACTTTTCATAGGTTAGATTATGTTTAATTCATAAAAATATATAATAAAATACAATTATATCATTATTGTTATTTGATAATACTGTGAAGATTCTTATAAATTTTGACTTAAATTAAGTACGGATCTAAAATTATTGAATGATTTACTTTGAGTGTTGTTAATAATGTCAGATGTTGAAATAATTTCAGACTTGGGTCCTATAATTTGTAATCCTTTATAAACCATGGACATAATGAATGAGTTCTATTTTAAGAACTCCAAAGATAGAAGTCCATCAATGTAGAAATTGAACATCACCACTTTTTCCTTATCAATATTTCTCAAGGTAAATTTGATGCTTTTATGGTTCTACTAAACAAGAAACAAGTATAAGAGATTCTATAGAATAAAGTAAAAGATATGGGAAATGGAAGTAATAATATCTGATTCAGTTAATTCTGACTCATAAGTGATTTGTTTATCTTCAACTTCAGCTATGATATTCATAATGGTTAAGCATTTATAAACAATTTGATTAATTGGGAATATGTCTAATAGCTATTCTTACTCTCTCCTATAATAATAGATTTGGAAGGCATCTAATATCATTTGAATTTTAGTGTTCGAGATGATTTGGGCATTGACAGTGCTTTCATTAATCTTGAAGTATGGATTGGACTCAGAATTTTCCAGTATAGAACATAATTAACTTAATTGTTTTTTTGTTCTTGTGTTTATTTTAATTAATTGTTTAGTAAGTAACTTGATTTCTTGATCCTTCAATTTCAATTGTTTGTCTTCCTCCAAAATCCTGGATTTCTGTTCCATTAGCATAATAATTTCTTTGTCAATTACACTATATTAGAAACAACGAACATTATATATCTGATGTGTTGAATTATCCTTCACTACCATTTCTAATTGTGATGAATTCTTCTTGAGAGCCACCATCATCTCATACAGGTATTGTCCCACATTCACGCAATCCATAGCTGCACTATGTTACAAATTAGCATTTCGAGGTTTATTCTGATTTTCAAATTGCTATTATTGTTTAGAATCATAGATAGAATAATGATGGAGGAAATCCTTTAAGTCTTAATTGCCCAGAATGCCAATCCTTTGTTGGGCTAATTTATTTGCATACTTCAATTCAAATTGAAATGAATCTTAGTCAAATTTAAAATGTATGTAGACATCCTTTATTATTTCGTCTAAAATATTTCCTTTAGATATAATAAGTATAATTACTAATTTCCTTCTCATTTTCATATTACAAAAAGAGTGCTCTCCTCACGTAGGCTTTGCGATACATCATAATGTATAAATAACATGAGACAACCGTATAAATGATAGCTATGCCATCAAATTTAAAATAAAATATCACGTATATCAACCGTATTGTGATTACAATTGTGAGTGAAATGACATTCCAAATGAAATCATAATGTTCCAATAAGGTTATGTTGACCATTGTAATTACACATCCAGCAACGTACAGATTGTTATAATTGCTCGTGTTCTTATCAACAAACAACTAAACTACAGTCATTATGATGTTGTTAAAAACAAACACACTGCAAATATTCTTGTTCTGCTTCATCCTACACACTATGGGAAATTGTATTATGAGAATTATGGTGCTTATTGATAACAATATTCCATTTGTCAGTTATCCCTGTTGCAATTGGATAATGGCCACACCTAGATTGATCATTATGAGGAATGGGTGATATGATTTAAAATGTGACAACGAAGAATCTCTTGTGGCATCCTCATATTTTTGTTCCAATTCAAAAGGAAATCTCAAAGTAAATTTATTCATTATTTATAAATAATAGTCAGTAAATCTGAAAACATCACAGAAAAGCTAATGAACTTATTTCAAATGAAATAAATGACCATAATCATACATATATATAAGTATCAAGTTTTACTAATACTTCTATGCTTCTCAGGAGAAGCGTGCAGTTTTTCGAAATACTCAAAGAATTAATCACTCTCCATGTCATCATGCATCAACTAACAGAAGTCTTTATAAGTCATTTTCCCATCGTGGATCATCAAATCACTTAAAATCTTATCTGAAGCCATCTCCTCCCTTCCTTCTCTCTTTAAAGCATATTCGACGTCCTCCTTGGTTATGTATTTCTTATCTTAAACATCAAAATAACGAAATAAACTCCATAATCTTTCCTTATTCAAATACTATTTCAAATCCAGAGTTGCAGCCAAAAATTAAGAGTACTTGATCTACAAGGCTTATTGCTCTTCTGGATTCATATTACGAATTAATTATTCAATTTCATTTTTCGTAGTCTCAAAACCTAATTTAGACATGATTTAAGACAATTCCTATGGGGTAATGAACCCATCCTCATCCTTATCTAACTCCTTAAACTTTTAGCTTAATTTGTCAATCTACTTATCATTTAATTGATTGATCAGTATTCTGAGCACTTCCCTTTTGAATTATTTACTTTTGGCATATCTTTTCAATCCCTTAATATTAGATGTATTGACAGGAGTGCAATCATTGGATTGAGGAATGTTCCCCTATTTCTAATTGATTTTTATTTCCAGCGGCTTACGATACGCCTTCTTAGCCCATTCACTATTCAAAGCTTCCGAACAAGTTAATCTTTTTTCTGGATCCTTCTGAAGCAATCCTTAAACTATCTTCTTACAATCCGAACTAATGTCCTTCCATTCCTCTTGAGGGAATGAAAGTGGCTTAAACTGTATCTTTTAGAGTAATTCTTTCAAGTGCTCCGAAAAGAAAGGTGGTTCAGAACACAATACAATGTACATAATACAACCAACAGCCCAATCATCACACTTCTAATTATACCTAACTTAAATTTATTAAATTACACTCCAGTGACCACTTCAGGAGCTACGTACAATGGAGTGCCTACTTAACTTTACTTCCTTTGCAATTGTTTCTTTCTGTCTTTGTCTGATTCCTTTAATTTCTTGCTTAAACCGAAATCTATTATTTTGATTTCTGCGTCATCTTTTTCATTTGATAATAATATATTTTCTGGTTTTAAATCTCTATGCATCACGCCTTAACTATGCAAATAGGCTATTGCTGAAAACAACTTCCTCATTACTATACATGCCTTATTTTCATCAAAGCTGCCTATACATTATTTTCAAAATTATTATGTACCTTTTGATAATACTCTCTCCAGTAGATTGCCTCCTTTGCAATGCTCCATCACAAAATAAATAAACATATCATCCTCATACATTTCATAGAATCTAACGATGTTGGGATGATCCATTTTTCTGAGTATTTCAAACTCTTCTTAAATCATTTATGTTTTATCGGCTACTCTTACTTTATTTATGGTCTTTATGGCATACACTTATTCTCCATCGGGTCCATCTTTATAACCAACCTTTACTGTCCCAAAAGACCCCTTCCCAAGCACTGCTCCAAATCTATAAAATGTTCTAATGTTAGTAGTAAAATATGTTTTTTTTCTTGCACTATGTCTTTAACTTGAACAACAACCCATTTAAAATAAAAAATGTAAAATTTATTCACAGATGTAATTTTTAGACGCTGTTGTTAATTAAGAATAATTGAAAAAATTTAATGGATACTTAATTCGAAAGTACAACTACAATGGTTGATGAGAAATTAATAATAATTAAATGTAAACTAATTAAAATACCTCATCTAATTTGTTACTTTAAAACAAGAAAGAATAGTTCCACATTCAAATTAGAAAAGAAAAGAGAGAGGAGATCTTCAAATCCAAAAGAATCATACAAAAATTAAACGAGACACATGAACACATCTAAATGAATCTTGAGGTATCAAATTTCAATATAAATCAGTAATTAGATTACTACATCACAGAATTGATGAAACAATGTATTGATACCTACAGAAACAGATAACCTGATGAATTAGATAAAACTATGAATAATTTAATGAGTTTGAGAATGTTACAGAATTTTGATTATGGAGAAGAGACCTTCTCATTTTGTTTGTTTAAGAATGACTTTATCGAGTAAAACCAATAACATAATGTAGATACATTCTTGTTCTATTGAATGAACAGTACGATCAGGCATCTCAATTATAAGTTGAAGCAGCCACTATTTTAGCCAATTTTTTTGGTATGATGGATAAAAATTCAAGATTGTATTTTTAATCCTATCTCCCCATGTTGAATATACTTGGTGATGCATTAATTTAGAATCTTGGGAGATTGCTGACTTCACAGAATGCTATCTTGGTTGATTCAGTATGATTGAGCTTCTTAATTATTAGTGTTTGTATGCTCTAGGAAATGCATTCTATGATTAATAAATATTGGTTCAGAAATTCAAATAGCATTTTGGATTTAAGCATCTGCTACAAATGTCTATGAATCTGAACACCATAGTCTGGGTATTGGATACTTTGACAGCCAATCGAGAATTTCTGAACAAAGAAGAGTTGCACTTATCCTTACAAATTATAGATAAATAATTGTAAACTTCTGATGCCAAAGACATTAGCCATAGTTTAAGTGCCATCAGGAATCTCTGTCAATATCAAATTAATGCGATACCATTAATTATTGATTTAGACTCTTTTTCTAAAATTGTTGGGATTATTTTATAGGGACAAGATTTGGAACATCATTCTATTTCCTTAGATATTATATTTTCACTAAGCAACTTAAATGAATTCGATTAAATTAAGAAGTTGGAATATAAATATCATCTAATGGAGATATATATTACAAATTTGTCATCTTACGAGAAGGAGTATAGATTGAGATCAATGGTGTCGTTGACTAACCTATGCAATCTGAATGAGTATTTTGCCAATTCCTTATCTAAAACCCCTTTTGTAATAGAGAAAATCATATCAATAACAATATAGACAGAATAGTAGTAGATTCTAACTGGAGTTAACTTGATTCATAGCATGTTACAGTATGAAAAGATTGAGATTAACCAAATTTTCATTAGCAATTAGATCTTGAATCTTATTTCAAGGATATTGGAATATTTAGACAATGAAATATTAATCTCCACTTTGAAATCTTTATGGATCTTATTGCACTCTATTGATAACTATACGGTTTAATTGTAGATTCCTGGAGATAATAAGGTCTAATCACAAGTTTACATAATGAATCAATTAAATATACACAACATCTAAGATAAATTGTTGACCTTATACTAAAATATTAACAATCAAGAAGTGAGAGATTGGATCGATGAGTGCATCAATATTTTGGAGAAAACTCAAAATTAAATTGAAAATTATTGATATTCTTAATATTTATTGACATTAATTTTATAAATAAAGAATGGTTTATTCAATTGGTTAAGCCAAAAGATCAGATCCTGCTCTCAAAACAATTGCACCTGCTCCCAATGCCTATCTTCCAAAATTGGTATCCAAAATGCAAGCTCCTCAATGGACGTAAACCCAACTTATTAGAGTAGTATCGGAGGAGCAGCCTAAAGGGCAGGCAGATCAACATCAATAGGACCTGGACCAGGACAATATGGATACGAATCTAAAATAGCAAATGGACCAAAATACACCATAAGTGGAAAACATGAATTGAAACAAGTTTCATAATCTCCAGGACCAGGAAACTACGATGATGAAAGCTTCAGTTCTGTTTACAAAAAATAGCCCATGTATACTCTCGGTCTAAAACATCATACATCCTAAAAGGATATCATGCCTGGTCCTGGACAGTATGATTTAAACAGTTCTTACATCTCTAACAACTCAATTAAATTTCCAACCCAACCAAGATTAACCTCTCTGGAAGGCGGAATATCTCCTGGACCTGGATGTAAATTAGAATATTATTTCTAGAATACAATATTGACAAGGCTGTCAAGTTGTTACAAGAGAAATCTTAACCTTCTTGGGTGATTGGCACTTCTCAGAGATCTCCAGAATTAAGGAAATAAGACTTATAACCAGGACCTGGAGCATACCATTTAAAGAGTCTACTCAATTTATCCAAAAACTTCACAATCAAATAGAAACTGGGTACTAAAGATTACAGCTCAACTCAACCTGGTCCTGGAGCTTATGATTAAGATATTTCAACAATCAAATCCAATTATCCATCCTATAAGATTGGTTCTGAATTGAGGAGCTCATCAAATCTAATGGATAAATTGGTGCCTGGACCTGGAAAATATTATAAGGAGTAATTTATTGATTAGTAAAGTGTAGGAGTTTGGATAGTCTAAGTTCTTTATAGAAGTCAGCTCCGTCCTTCAAGATGCCTCAAGCATTGAGGAAGGATATAAATGATTCAGTGACAATCACTCCTGGTCCTGGATAATATTCGATACCTTAGAATCAAAACACTTAGATGGTCTCAATGAAGGGGTCAAAGTATAACCCCAATATTTCGGCATATATTCCAGGGCCAGGACAGTACAGTCCAGATGATTCAGTATGTAAAAACAAGGAAGGTTCAGTGAAAATTGTACCAGAACATAGGACTAAATAATTATTAACGCAGTACTTACCAGGACCTGGATAATATTCTGTTAAATCATCTCTCGAAGGTCCTTAATGGGGATTCTCTAAAGACATTCGTTAAAGCATAATCAAAAAGGATATGATTCCTGGCCCAGGGGCTTACAATATCCCTCCTAAATTTAATGAGGTTCCAAAGTATCTATTGCCAAAACAATTTTGAAACAATAAAAAATATTATTAAAATTATAAAATGGAAAAAGAATTGGCTCACAAATTGGATGTGATTCTTAAGAAACTAAGTGATGATGTTCTAAAAATAGAGCAAGACAAATTATAACATGTGTTTCATTCTGTTCATACTATATCTTGGATAGTGATCTAATCAATAGTACCTTACATTAGAGAGGAGTTCAGAGGTTAAACTATAAAAGTGTTTTAATTGATTACCCAATTGATCAAGTGTCTCAAAGACAATGATTTTGATGAAGTGACCAGAAAACTATTTCAATAACGAGCCTAAAGAAGAAGATCTTTAAGGTTGATCAATTGTTCACTTTGTGATCAGTATCGTAAGATGCCATCCAAGTAAGATCCTAAATAAGCACACTACAAGAAGTACTTGGATTAATTGAAAAGAGATGGAGTTGAATTGAATTCTAAAATGGAACATGTATCACTGGAAAGAAAGATTAGAAAATTATCAGATGATGACGAATAATTTGTATATAAGACATCGAAAGCATGTTAAGTTGAGTTGGAGGAATTGTTACTCAATTAAAATACCAATGAAATCACAATAAGTAAACCAGAAACTTTTGATGCCGAAGCTTAAACTGATTCTCTTCCATCTAAATTCTCACTGTAAGCCATATCAGAATTGCGCAATCATTTTGTCAATTATTTTTATTTGCATTCTCAATATGATAATGTAAAATCAATTATTGAAGAAGGAATTAAGGCATGTTAAAAATAAACAGAAATATTCTCAGATGTGAATCAAGATACTCCTGCCTTAAAAGTTAAATATTTTGCCTAATAATCTTTGTAACATGTGACTTAGGTTCTATAACAAAAAATAACACAGATTGAAGCAACTAAGGAATTTAAATCGAAGGAATTGAAAGAGAATCTTCCTCCTTTGGGTGATATCATTAAATAAGTGTAATTGTAGGAACACAAGAGAAAGGCAATCGAGGCAGGGATTATTGAATATGATCCTGAATTTGATCCAGAATTACTATAGAATAAGAGAATAGAATTTAGAGTTAAGGAAATTAATGGTTAATAAGTGATAGAGGAGGTTGTGGTAGATGTAGAGAGTGGAGAAGTAATCAAAAGTAGGGCCAGATAAAGTGATCCCCAATAAGAAATTATGTTGGAATAAGAAGAATTGATTAAGTAGATAAAATCAAAGGAACAAACTATAGATGAAAATGAATGGATTGTGGCTAAGTATGGAAATTAGAAGGTTAAGGTAGTTTAGAAATCAGATGATGTTACTTAATATGAAGTTAATACTGCATAGGCCAAAAAGATTGTTAGAGTGAAATCAGTTGATGGGAATAAGCAATTGGAAGAGGAGTGGATAGCTCAATAGGCAGATGGAAAACATTAGTATAAAGTATATTAGCAGAATGGATAATTGTTATATGAGGACAAGGGAGAATCGGTAGGGATTAGATTGTCAGCAAAGAGATTAGATCATAAGGAATCAATTATAGAGGAGAGGACAACGGAGAATGGTAGTGTAATGAGAATATTGGAGAAATAAAAATATGGTTAGGATACATTAAAGATTATCAAAAGAAATAGTCAGCATGAAGTTGTGGAATCTATTACTAAGTAGGTTTTGAAAGATGACAATGGGGAAATGTATTAACATGAGGAAGAAGTGAAAGAAGGAGGACTCAAAATTATGAGAAAGATATATGTGAATAGTGATGATTAGAGTAAGAAAATAGATGAAATCACTATTCATCCAAATGGACGAAGATCTAGTATTGTATTGAAGCAATACAAGGACAAAACTGAAGCTGTGTTTAATGATGAATATGGAGATGAAATTCAAGTGACCAAATACACATATATTAATGAAAAGGGATAATAAGTTGAATGTCAAAGAAAAATGAATATGAGAACTAAGGAAGTGTAAATGTAAAAGACTTTTAAAAATGAAGATGGTAAATAAACTATTGAAACTGTTATCACTTTGGATGGTTTGGAAATAGGCAAGCAAGTCATCATTTAAGTTGGACCTAATGAAAGAATTGAAAGAATTACCAAGAATGGAAAGACTATTGAGTAAAAGGTGTTAGTTGATGAACATGGCTAAGAGTCTATCCATATGGTTGATCATGAAAATAACATGAAAATTCAGACAACCAATTTTACTAAGAATTCTGTTGAATATCAATAGTAAACTATTAATCTGTCTAATGGTGCTAAAAGACATATTCATTAGAGGTCGTATTTTGATGAGAATAATGAGAAGATAGTCGAAGAAGATAGAGTTGATGAATTTGGTCAAAGGATTCTAATTAAAAAGAGAATCAATGCTCTAGGTGAAGAGATTATTCAAGAATTTGAAGTGGTTGAGAATGATGGACTTAATCCGGAATTACGATAAATTAGACAATCATAGAAAAGATTACCACGAGCAGAGTTGTAATCTGTTGTTGTAATAGATATTGGAATTCAGACTGAAGGTTAAATACCATTATTCACACAAACTTAAGAGTAATTTTAATAGAAGAAGTAGAACTCTCAGATTATTATTGATAAACCTGATTTCAATGAATTAGACAAAGAAGCATTTAAGAAACTCTAATAAGGAAAAGCCAAGAATGACCCATAATTTTAAGAGGCAGTCAATTAAATTAAAAAGTTCTTCAATAAAGGTGATGGAGAAGAATTAAAGTAAGAAGAATTCAATGAATATTTATCGAAGTTGAGATAAAATCATTAAAGGTAATGTGGTGAATAATGTTCTCATTTATTAAGATTTTATGCAAAATTAGGTTTCTTGATTTAAAAATCAGCTTTGAATAGACAAGTTTACAAATTACAAAAGGTCTAATTGTAGGCTAAAGAATCACTTTGACTCGACTTGAATAATTTATATTAATATGTTATAACAACAATTAACTAAGCTTTTTTTAAAATATGATGCACCCATTCCATAGGATAAAATCCTATTCAAAACCCAATTTTTCAAGATGAGTAATCACAAAGAAGTGACTTTACTGTTATGCAGTGATGATTTCATATACAAAATAAGTAATAAGAACACTAAAATGTATATACTTAAACTCAATTGTGAAGTGAGATTCTCAGTTAAAGCCGAATAAACTTCGAAATAAATACACAAACAAATGAAAGGCGATGAATTCCATACACAAATTTACAAATTTACTCTCGAAAGAGATGATTGTGATTCTGTTGAATTTTATAACTTCAATTTCTAAACTATGTATTGGTTTGATCACCTCAGAAACAAGTTGCATATGTTAGATTATCAAGCACATTATGAAATAAGCAAATTAATTGGTAAAGGATCATTTGCATCGGTCTATGAAGCCAAGGGAAAAAATGATCAATAATCTTATGCTGCCAAAGCATTCTATAAGAAGCAAGTGTTCCAGGATCCTAAAGGAAGGGATTAGGTGGAAAATGAAATTGTTGTGATGCGTAAACTCAATCATCCAAATCTGATTAATTTACACGAAGTATTTGAAAATAAAGCATAAATCTATTTAATATTGGATTTGGCAAGGGGAGGCACACTTGAATATGCTTTGAAAGTCTTCAATGCCCCAGTTCCATTCCTGAGTGCAAAAGTGATATTTAGATAAATCCTTGAAGGTGTACAATATATTCATGATTAGGGTGTAATACACAGAGATTTAAAACCAGATAATATTCTTTTTAGAGATTTCATCCCCCTTAAAAGGTATGGACTCATCAATGTTGGTAATAATGTTATGATCAGCGATTTTGGGATTGCTACTCCAAAACAATAAAGAATGGCTGTGTATCAATATTGTGGCACTCCAGGGTACATGGCACCGGAAGTGTTTTTGGCAGAAAACGATAACAATGCTACATATGATGAGAAATGCGATGTCTTTTCATTAGGTTGCATCCTCTATTATCTTTTAATTGGTCATCCTCTCTTCGCATAGCCAGTGAAGCAGACCAATATGGAAATGAAGATTGACTTTGCTCAATTAGAAAAAGACCTCAATTCAAGTCATTCATTAACTGTTCTCTTACAAAAGATGCTATCTCACAATCCATAAGATCGACCATCTTGCAGAGAAATTCTTGAATCAAAAATAATGGAAGTGGAATATGGAGAGGATGGCATACCTGTGTTCAGAGATTTTCAGAGACCTAAGAGTAGTCCACCTAAAAGAATGTAGCCTTTACATCCAGAAATCGATAGATCGTAATATGATATAACAATAATTTTAGTAAGAGATAGAGTGTGTTAAATCCAAAGATGATCAAATTGATGCCAATTCTTGAAGAGAAACAGGATGTACGAAATTCCGGAAAGGAGAAAACGACAATTGTGGCTAAATCAAGGAATTCTCATTTTGAGGAGGAGAGAACTCCAGCTTAAAGAGTGGCTGCAGCTAGAAGATCATCTGCTTATGTTCCCTCAAGCAATTAGAATAGCAGGAAATGATCATAATCCTATATTTTTGTAATCATAATTATATTTGTATATTATAAGAGAAAACAGAAATGAAATCTGTTAAATTTTCAAAAGAAGATCAAGCAGCGATCATGAAAAGCCTTGATGAGCAAGATGTAATCAATTAGAGATTAAATCAAATAGTTTGAAACCTTCATCTCCTACTTCAGAAATACTGATCTCATAGTTGAATGTGAGTACATGCTAACACGTTAAAAATAAAAATTGGCGCCGACTGAAAATGCTTAATTTACAATTGGCAGAGTGTCCTACTACGTTCAAATCACTGAAATGATAAAAATAAAGATTCAAAATGAATGGGCGGGATTCATAAAAGGTCGAATATATTTCAAACCTGAAGACATTGATAATCGTGATGATGAATTCTAAAAGCTACAAGAATGCACATCTAAAGACCTATTTCTCACTGACATTACTTAATGGTTTCTATCTACTACATTTGTTTAAAAAATAAAAGTCGATCCAATTGATATGTTTGTCGAAGGGACAATCGTACTAGACGATGACCATTTCTATACACGTGCAGAATACAACACAAAATTATAAGAGTTTAACCCTCCTATAAATGAATGGTTAATATATTGCAATTGCAAAAGATTATACGATCCTAAAGAAGACTATATTCTATGTGAATTCTGTAATAATTGGATTCATTATACTTGCAGTGGAAAAAGTGACAAAGAACTTAAAAATATTTCTAAGATCAAGTTCATTTGTCTTGCATGTGTTGATTAAAACTAAAACAAGAAGAAAAAGTTATCCAATGTTTAAGAATATTCAACTCAAGATGGTGATTCCACTAAAATTAGATCTTTTAATACTACACATGGAAAAAAGAAGAAATGACATTAATTTCATATTCAAGTCATATATTCATTTTTTAAACTTTGATCTATATTTAATTAACGATATAAATTGTCTATGTCATCTATCGTCCTTTATGTATTGAAAATCAGGAGTCCCAAGTAAAGTAAGTTGTCTCTTTTGTTGTCGTTTAACTTTCTTAATTCTTGTATAGTCATTTTCATCATCGAAAAAGACTTTTTTAGACGGAAAATATTGTTTAAAAAGCTATTTGTCAACCTTAGATAAATTCATTGCAATAGATATTATCATTTCATTTTCTAAGTTTTCACGTTGTTTTGGGAATGTTCCTGATCTCATCTTATATAAAACTAAAAATTTATGCAAATTATCCAAAAAATCTATTTTTGATTATGGTAATGTCCCATAATAGTTGAATTCGTCTTCAAATACACTATAGATTTCTTCCTCATCATTATCAAATAATGAGAACTCCATAACTGATTTTACTTGCAACTTTTTGGTTTGCATAGGCGATAAATCAGGTAACGAAAAATTAGATAAAGTTTTGCAAGATTCTTAATTCTACTATATTGTCTAAACAATTTAAATTTGAGCAGGTCTACGCTTTCTTAGAGCCAAAACTATTTGTGGCACCTCCCTTTAGTTGTATGAAACACTTCCATATGGTTAAATTTCTAGAGCTTTGTCTGTTTATTCTAAATCATATGACGTAATCGACAAACCAGGACTCACTCCCATTTAAGAGTTAGATTATCTAGAATCAAAGAAATCAATTTCTTAATCTATTTCATTAGAAGAAAACAACTTCTAATAACTCAATTAATCTATGTCAATCTCTATTTCTTTGTTAGAATGAGTCTATGGTCCTGAATTTGAAACCTCTTCTAATGGTATATTTGGATCAGAAACAGCTTGAGTAAATTTAAAAATAGACTTAGTCTTTTGAGCTTCAGAATTTTTTAATTTTATCATAAACAATACACAGAATGATCGCCCAAATTCACATAATTGAACTCTTTCTATAATAATTTATCATTACTAATTCCGATAAGTTAGCATTCATAATTTTTTATAATTAATAATCCTGTCATTCCTTAATGAAGATAAATAAAACAATTTAAAAAGCACAATTTGTAAAATCAAATATTTAAATATATTTTTCAAAATGGTTGTAAATTGCTTAATGAAATAATTAAGTAAGCCTAAACAGATTTCATTAAATTATTTCTCTTAATCTTAGAATTTATAACTAATCTTAAAGTTCCGCTTTACAATTTTTAATTTGGAAACCACATGGAATAAACTCAAAAAATTCATGCTTCCTCTATATTAAATCATATATATATAATTATTCAATTTAATTCTTAATTATTCTTAATAATTGTTTTTAATAGAAATTGAAAATTATCATTCGATCGTGCAATGTCTAAGCTATGATCTCTAAAGTATCATTTGGGACTTATAGAACACTGTGCTTAGGCTATTAGTCTCTCATATTTGCAATTATTAATTGTTAGGAAGAATCAGAAATTCCTTAATACTTGTTCCTATGTGTCTACTGAGAAATTTGATTTATAACTAAAAGTATTGCAGAAAAACCAAGGATCAGATGTTTCTTTACAGACATACATGATAATAGATACTCATATTCTCTTTTTTACAAGAGATTAAAAGGAAGATATTTTCAATTTTTTTAATTTAATTTATAGATTAATGAAAGACGGAAAAGATTTACAATTTGAAAGCTAATATGATATTGTTGCTAAGAATATTTGCGTATGGTATTTATTTATCAAAATACTTAGTTTTTAAATAGAGAGAAAGGTGATCAAAATACAAATATTTGGTGATACTTTAGCCCTAGAAGAGGAAGTAATTTTTTCTTCTTTACAGGAGATGACTCAAACCAATGTATTCAATAAAAATGAATCATAATAGCCCTAATAGCTTTGTGAGGACGAATAACATCTAGATGAATTTTTGGTCAGATTATAGGAAGAAAGGATCCGCGAATTTCTTTTATCTTTATAGCCACTAAGAGAAGTTGTTCTAACTTGATGATTATCTCGTTTTTCATAATATTGTTATTATATGAATATTATATTAATAATATCTAGAAACATATCTTTAAAATTACATGTCAAGTGTTTGATAAATATGATCCAAGCTGATAGAGAATTAAAAAATTATTATATTTAATTAAATACTACAAATTACCAATAACTACTTAGTTTTGAGGTCTATTATATTATTTTTAGTAGATAAACATTTTTTTGAAGTTCTTAATGGCCTGACATTATGAGCTTCTTGTCAACATTTTATAGTAGAATAAACATAATATATTTTTGAGAGTTTGTTTTCAAATTAAGGGACCTCATGGAAATAGTCATCTTCTAACATTTCACACTCATTTCTCTTTCCTTTATTCGCTAGATGGTTTTTAAATTATTTACAATAATTTAAATTGCTTTGCTCACAATCTGACTATCAAATTCTGTGATATTAGTTTAATGAGCAGAATCAGAATCAGAAAGTTTGATATCACCTTTACTAATTTCTTTTTTTATCGTTTGCACATTATTTCCCAAGACTTATTTTACTTTAATTATACCCCTTTTTAATTGAGTTTCTTTTTAATACTATAAATTCTGGTATTGAAGATTTCATTAGATAAGCAGCAGGCTTTCTTATTGGTAATTTATTGAGAATGAGTCAAATAACTCATAAATTTGATGGGTAATAATAATTGCATTAATAAATAAAAAATTATATTACAGCTGCAGAATTAACGAAAATTATAATAACAAAAATTATAAATAATCTTAAAAAATAATAATGGATTTTTATTAAATATGATCATTTTTGTGAAATTGGACTTAATTTAAAGGAGCTATTCTATAGTACAAAAGTGATCGACTTATTATTTTTTGATTTCTCATTTACATTTACTTCAAAATTCCTCAATATATTAATAAGGATTATCTGATAAATCATTGTGGCTAAGCTTTACCCAACACAATTTCTTGGTCCATTTGAGAATGGAATAAAAACATAATTATTGTTCTCTTTAATCGATTCTGATTATAGCCATCTCTAGTAATTGAATTCTTTAGGATTATCGTAGTATTTTTCACTCGAATTCGTAACTGAGTTATCTACCATGACAACCCAATCTATATATATGATTGATAATATATATACTTCTTTTTAGTTTTAAATCTTTAATAAAGTGAGTGGTCTAAACCTTTCTAACAATAGGAATTGGATTAACGAATCTCAATACTTCATTTAAGAAAGCACTCAATTTAACTAAGCTCTTCAATTCCTGATATGAAATAATATCTGTTTTGCAAATGCTCAATATTTCCTATCTTAATTCATTTTAAATCTAAGGTTATTCTGCCAAATAGTGCAGACTTGCCTATATTATTTAATTAGTTGTCTGACTGCCTATTTTAAATATTGTAAAATATTATTATTTTATTTCTTCAAATGACATTCTATTGTTCCCTTTTTTAGTTTAAAGATAGGCTTAAATATATATATTAAGGATATCCTCTGACATTTATGATATCTCATTTTCATCTTCATCCAACTTAAGTTCGTGCTAAACTATTCTCTTTTGAATAATTTTTTCTATTGTAAATTTAATATTATTTATTTTTGTTTGAATGATTTATTCCTCTGAGCTAGGAAACATTTTTAATGCTTAGACTCCAAAAAGAATATTTTTGCATATTGAATATGGTTTTCTACTCAATTTTGATAATGCTTCAAACAAATCAGTGGTTTCTAACCCGATACATTTGTTATTAATCAATAATTTATTTGCATCTTATCCAAAAAAGCTTTAAATAAGAATATCACTTATTATTATCAATAAAGTTGTTTGAATTTAATCATTCTAATAATCATATTGCTTAAAATTTTGTTTAATAATCTCATTTAATTTGGGTAAATTCCTTTTAAGTTTATCAATGTCAAAATATTAAATAAGCAATTCACGTTATTGCTTCCACCTCTCTCCTTATTAAAACATAATACCTTCATCCAATAATTGACTAAATAATAAATTAAATTTACCTTGTATTTAAATCATTAATTTAAGAATAGTTTTCGTGATTGTTTAACATGAATTAATAATAGTCAGGATCAATTATTAAGATGTAAACGGCTGAAGCATAATTATGCACAATAAACTTTACAGTTTTAGGTATCGATTTTCTCTTCATCTTCTCAATAATAGATTAGCTACTCAATCCCAAAATTCCAAAAATTCCAAACTATATTTTACAAGTTGACCCAAATTATAATTTCAACTTCATCATTATGACCAAAGGCTTAATAACAAACCAACTGATTAGCAATCCCAACAGTATTAGTAATATTTAGAATAACATTTAAATTTTTTTAATTAATATAATAATAATACAATTTTCCAGGTTAGAATTTCTCAAGAATCAGTCCACCATTTTCCTCGTCAGAATTAAATTTGATCTTAAATGATATTAGGAAATTTGTTTCCATTTCAACAAACAATACCATTGTCCTATTTAAATGACAGACAAATAAAATTTAGATCTAATTTACAACAAGCTAATTAAAGATAATCCTGTATTTTTACAGTTATCTCTTCTCTTTAAATTATTCGCAATTCCTCCATTTTTAGTTCTTAATGAAAGATTTCAGAAACTCATTCTAAAATTTTCTGATCTTTTTAAGAGGCAATAAATTCGAGATATTATTAAGATTATACTCACTCAAATTACTATTTATCTATATAGGAGTATGGGAATTTTAAATTCGTTCAAAGGCTTTATTGATTAGAACAATTTGTATAATTTAAAATGATAACAAAGGCAATAATTATACACAATGTCACTAACCTAAGATAAATAATATATAATTTAAGATTTTTAATTTAAAATAATATTGATTTGCCTTTTTTATTGCAGTAATCATTTAAATACATATTAAATGTTGGTAATTAGTAAAATAATTTTCTAAATATTAAAATGTTTAATGTTCTATACAATGCTACAAATATTAAGCAAAATAGCATTCTATGGTTAATCCTATTTTAATCTAAAATTATGATATCTACATTACTAATTTTAATCTTTCTGTTAAATATATTTATAATATTTATTAAAATATCATCTATTTTATAAGCTTTAGAAAAAATGTTTTACTAAACATATTCTAGATTAAAATGAATATTGATCAAGAAATAACACAAATAGAAAAATCTTAAACCTATTATGTTTGAAGTAGTGCAATTTATAATACTAAAATCAATTATTAGTTACAATAAATAAATTATAAATTTTTCGACTAAATGATTTTTCTTTTATTTCTTAATATGTCTTTGGGATATGTTACATATAAAGAGGGTACATTTAGATCTTTTAATGTTATAAACAAAGGATTTACTTGCTTTAGAGGTTATGAAAGGACCTAAGATGTAAGATTTTAGGATTCATTTAAAAGAATTCCAAAAGTAATACTCATACCTGAATTATTTGATATCCCAACATCAACAATTGATTACTCCTTAGAAATTGTAACTATTACAGAATAAAGTAAATTGAATAATTTTATTAGACTTTACACTCAGAATTAAATGTACTGAAGGATAAGTGAATGGGATTCATTATCGGTGGCTTGCAATGGACGATACAAGAATATCAGTTTTTAGCTAGTTTAATATAAAAGACTTTCAGGATAAAAGCTTTGATCTTGTGAATCCTAATACTCAAAATTATTTTGTCTCTCTGATTTCTGTATCATCTACAGGAGCAGCGAATGTTGAAATCAAAGTAATATTTATAGGATAATAAGGTTTCTGAAATTACAGAAAATAAGTTTACAGTTAAAATCACTGATATAGCGGGAACACTTACTAGTATAGGATATCAGGTTGTTCTTGGAATAGAGGGTATGCTGTAATAATACAATATACAATAATCAAATATAAATGGTGCATTTATTGGCTCAAAATTACCTTTGAGATCACAATCTTGGTTCCTCGTACCATATTTAAGAATCTCGTATGATCAAGTGAATCTTCTGAGATATAGAACAATCTTTCATAAAGATTAGATTTCCTAATGGTATGAAATGACAGCAAGTAGATTTTATTATAAAAATAGTCGGATGTTGTTGCAATATAGAATAGGACCATTAACCTATTATTATAGATTATCAAACTACTTTCCTATTTACACAATCAAAATTTGGGCAGGTTAAAATTAAATCATTAGTAGATAGCAAAACTAATTATATAAATTCTTTTAAAGCTTAATTGCAAGGGAATGATAATGTAATTACTGATTTAGGAGAATCATATTACAATATTCACAAAGACAAAAAATCTTCCTTTCTAACTATTTATGTGTTATGCAATCTAAATGAAGTTCTCTCATTAGAATTCTATCATGGTTCAGGCCTAAATATTAATTCGAAGCATTTTCAACACAAGTGCAATGGGATATTCAAAGAGATTATTTATACTGTAGAACTTGTATAAACATTGGTTGCCTATCAAAAAATATTAGTCAACATAGCAGAGGATAAATGCGAGATTTCTTAAGTACTCTCCAACTAAGAAGTACAAATAGTAAAATTATTTGAAATAAAGAAAACAATAGTTTGATTAATAAATTCTTCTTTATTTAAACCCTCTATTTCATAGTCATATCCTGTATTTAATTTTTTAATTGATACGTGTAAATATAAGTGTTAGAAATAAAGTAATCTGCTCATGTAATCATATCATATCTTTCGCATATTTATAAAATAATAATCATTATTCAATTTTACAAATTCCTCACATTGACGAAGACAAATATTGCATATATATTTTGATTTCAATATTTTTTTGAAATGGTTTTATTATACTTATTTAACTTTAATGTTTTCACTATTAATCTAAATCCAAGGCACCTTCCAATTTCATAATGTAATTATTAAATAGCAATGTACACGTTAAATTATGTTTGGAGATATAAATTTTCATAGAAATGTATTTATTTTTATGATCAGCTTCAATTATCAAATACAATTGAGTAATGATTTTTGGAATTCAGTTATTAAAGTGATATTTAATGAATGATATTATATTTCAGATTTAATAAACTTATATTCATAAATTATAAAGATCAATAACTAATTGGTTTGCTTTCCTTATTTCATAAAGGAATGTAGCGCCTAGTTCCTAAGTTTTGAGTCTGGAATTAATTATTTATTCTTGATTACTTTAAATTAATAATCTTTATTACTAAAAATATGCCAACCCTGGTTGATCTAGTATCTTTTAATTCAATTTAAATTTCTTAGTATTCTATCATTATAACCACCTTTTTCTTTAAATAGCATTTGATTTACAAATATTTATGGAACAGCCCTCAAAATAAGTATAGTGAGTTGTTATTTATATTTTCAAATTTAACAGTTACCCTAGAATTAAATTATTAGCTTCAAATATGTTCAAATCAATCAGAATCATTCAGCCTACTCTTAGCAAAAAATTACATAATTCATATATTCTACAAATAATATTAGACAATTCTATTACATTAAAAGTTATAATTCTAAAAACTATATGTTTTATCGATCTTGATGATTTTATAGAATTCTTTGACTTTTTTAATTTGGATCTCGATTCTAACTTATGCAGATGTTTTTAAGGATATTTTCATTAGAATTAGAAATTAAAATTTGTAATTCTATTACAGTCAATAAATAATATTAAAATTGCATTGTAAGATGAAATATTATATTAATGCAGAAGGCTATCAAATTTAAGTAGTGACTATAAATTTGTTTACTAATTCATAACTAAATAACATATATTAGGAATATTATGTTGTTTCATTCATAAAATAATTCATAAACTGAAAATTATTTCAAAAAAGAATCCCAAATGACTAAATATTTGCCATCTTAGGTCAAATTACCAAAAACAGCACTACTGGAGCATGAGATAGTACTAGAGTCAACTTTATATTATTAAGTTCCGTCATCAAAACGAATAAAATAGATTTTTTTGTTGACCTTTTGAATTAAGACTTATTTTTTTCTATGATATATAGTTGGGAATAAGAACTAAAAGTTTTCAGTTTAACTTTCTGACTATGGAAATTGGATTGACTACTTTTTAACATACATGCCATTTTTTAATTAATAGAAATGAATATATCGCTGATTGCTTTATTGCCAAACAATAACGTCATCTGTAATATAAGAAACTCTACATCCAAAATCAGAGTGTGAATGATATATCAATTAATCAAAAATCCATTTCTTATTAGCATCTTTTTTCCAGATAATAATCTTTTAATCTTAGCCTGTCGACACGAACTCAGTATCCGATTGATTGATACAGAGACTAAGGACAACTTTTTCGTGTCTTTTCAATTACTAATCAAATTAGATAGATTTATAAGTAAGGTTTACTTTCCAAATAAAAATAGATAAATCCTAACTGCAAGATATTAATTAATCCTCTTAATTAGTTAAAATTACACAAGTTACGAGACCGCTGTGGGATGTTTTACAAGTCTACTTTAGCCATTTATCATTCTAATTGTAGTATAGTTTAATAGATGAATCAAAGCTACCTGATATAAAAAAATCAGCTTTTTGGCTGAAAACTAAACAAGTTGCATAATCTATTTCACTATCTCCTTTAATCTATTATATACACTCTATTTTCTTTCCATCCTGGAATCTCCATATCTTGATCCCATCCTGTGCACCGCTAACCATGATATTCCTTTACCGATCAAATGCTATGCTATAACAGATTTCCTTTTAATCAAATTAATTAATTAATTTGTATTCTTCTTTACTAGTGTCGTTTTTCTATATCTGTTATAAGTAAATATTAAAATCTTTAAAAACCACATCAATTTTATTTTCTTCTATTTCTTTCCACAAATTTTCGAAGGCTTTTATTATTTTTTGTAAGAAAGATGTATTAATGTGTAGAATTTTCTCCTTATAATCTTGTTTTGCAATCTGCTGTTGTCTCTGAATTTCAATCTTGTCCTTTTCGATTTATATCTACATTTCTATAATACTTGCTTACCATTATTTACCATATTATAAGGCTTCATCCAATTTTCGCAGTAATGCCGTTTTTAGTAGTAGAAATTGTATGTTTAATTGTTCAGTCCATTTCGTAGTCTATGCAATAACATCATATATTTCTTAATGCACACTTACCTATTGATTAATGTTAATGTCATCCGATAAAAGTTCAATTTTTATTGCAGCTTTCTGACCTTTCTCCCTCACTCGCAATAACCGAGAGTCATATTTTTTGTCTAAATTTTAATTGAAATTATTCTTCATTTTTTTTTTATTGATTTTTAAATTATTAATATTTATAATCAGCAAAACCATTAAATAGGCATTTTAATGTAATTAAATCTTAAAAATATTGAAATTTAAAGTCTAATCATTTTTCAATAATAATTGAAGAAGGGTTGTACAAAAAGGATTGTCTTTTGTTGTATATTACTATAATGTATTATTATTATTTATCATCTTTGTAAAGTTCATAGTTATAATTAAGAATTATTATGTTATATATATGTATCATTATTTATAAATATATAATTTCAACAATATTGATACTATCATTAATATAATAATAAAAAGTAAAAAAGTATCATTAAACCAATTTAGCTTACAATCCTAAAATTATTAAATTAATTTCATTTAATTGTAAATATATCTGATTCAAATGGATCTGTATTACTCATCCCTAATAATTAAATAGGGAGATGAGTTTGCCATTAATGATGCTGACTCAAAGTTCGATTTATCAAGCGCTCCTGAGACAACCTATTTGTAAAAAATTGAGATTTACACAATAATTTATAAAACCTCTAAATAAAGTTATAAATCCTATTTTGAATACAAATATTTACTTGTCATCGAAGTTGCTTCTGATAAAATTGAGTTTTCAATTTCATAGATTTTAATGATTTTTGTGCATTAATTCTAAATTTAATTGGTTTAAACTAGGCTTTACTCAAATTTGTTTCTTATTTATTGATATTTAACTATTTTATGCTGATCAAAAATTCTATCAATTTTTAAAATATCAATAATTTATAATAAATAGTGAGTTTACTGTCATAAGTTCCTCCTTATAAATTTTGATAAGAAATAAGGTCATTAGATAATAAAGAGCAAAGAACAAGAAATGGGATAAGGACAATAATGAAACAGGGAGCGAGAATAAAATATAACAATCAATATGAAATTTATAATGATAATCATAATAAATCAGGAGGCAGCACTATGCACTAATTAATAAACAATAACACATCCTAACTATAAGATGCAAATCATCACCTATTTAAAAATGTACTTCTTTATTGTTTGGTTCGAGTAAGAGCACTTGAGAAAAGTCTTTAAGGGATTCCTCATATTATTTCAAAATGAAATATGCTATTCCTATTGATAGGTTAATAATGTTCACCTCTTTATTAATATGCTTATGTCATTTATGGGGATAATTCAATTGCACCAGTGAAAGCCTCAACAGCTTTTTCAATATTTTGTACTAGTAATATTAATTTAATAATAACTAATGGGATTTTTTGGCAGAGCAAAAAGGCTCAAGTCAAATGAAAAATTCCCTATTTATTAATTCTTTATATTCACTTTTTGTTGTTATTTATGGGTCAATTTTAACGGCAATTTCTATATCCTTTTTAGCCTCATCAAATTTTTCTAACTATTTATAAATAGTTCCTTGTTATTAATTTCGAATAAAACCTCGATTGCAGTATGCTTTGGCATAGTTTGGGTCAATTAAAATTGTCTATGAGTAATCCTCAATAGCCTTTTCAAATTGATTTAAAAAATAAGCAATATTTCCTAATTATGAAGTCTGTATTCTCACCTCTATTGTAGTATAATGTCGCTATTGTTGGCTTTATCTCTATTGCCTTGTTATAGTTTTCTAAAGCTTCAAGTGGTTAATTCATTTCAAATAACACAAATCCTATTGATAATATAACAATTTAACCCCTATTGTTATAAGCCAAAATATTGTCTGGTTAGTCCTATATGGCTAATGATAAGTGTTGATATGATGTCTCATATGAACTCTTTTCGGGAATTTTTTCTAATGAATAAGATTAATATTTAGAACTGAATTGTGGATATGGAATGGTTAAACATGGTTCAAGCTAAGAAGCTCTTACGTAATCCTTCGAAGCTTAATCCATTTTATTCTACAACTCATAAATCTCACCTTATTATAATATTCTTAGAATTACCTCTGTGATAATATGCCATATAATATTCTGGATTAATCTCAATCACAGTTGAGAAATCTTCAACAGCTCTATCATAATTTTTTAATTTATAATAGGCAATAGCTATTTCATAATTATGAATATGCACCTCGATTGAAATATGATGTATAGTATTATTTATCAATTGTAAATACTTTTGTGTACTCCTCAATGGCCTTATGATAATTAGACATCTTATCATAAGCCAATCCTATATAATATTCATAAATAAGTACCTCTATTGTTATAAGCAAGAATAAATTTTGGATCAATTTCAATTGCTTTTGTGTATTCTACAATAGCTTTCTCATGTTAACCCAAAATATCTAAAACAAATCCTATTGATAGATATAGATCTCCACCTTTGCCATTAATTGCGTCAACATTTGTTGGTAGTGCGCAAATTGCTTCTTCATAGGCCTCTAAAGCTTCTTCAAATCTTTCAAATTTTTGTAAAGAATTCCCTAACGTATATCGATAATCCACCTTTCCAATAATATGCATTGGACTTTTCTTTTAATACTTAGCCTTCTTCCTTTCTCTCTTTATCCATTGTATCTTTTTATTTATTAATATTTATTATAATTGCCCTCTTAATATTAATGAATATGAATACATAATTTAGTATAACACACGTACACATTTACAAACATTTGTTTTAAATACTCATTAAATTCTACTTGTTAATCAAAAATTATAATCCTAATTTGATCTGAATATGTTAATTTCAAAACTAAAATTGATAATAATATTTAGATTATTAGAGAACAGTAGAACAAGACTACTTTACATTATAATTAATTTATTTTTTTTTAATTTTAATTAATATGTCAAAACCAAATAACTACAATGATATTATAATACTAAGAATGATAATTTATAATGTAATACTATATTTGAAAAAATCAAGTTTGGATTAATTAATAAATTTTGATGTAAAATCTAATTGTGATCCTATTGTAACTAAATACACATTTTAGGTGGTTTAATTAAATTTCAAGGATTGTATTTAGTAGAACTTAAATTACAATTGGAATTCTGTATTATAAAATATATTTAAATGATAAATAAATTGAAGTGAAGTGTTCAAATGGCTCATCAGTCAATTACAATTAAATCTTTATTGATTCAGAAAATTCTATTGTTGAAAAACTACTTCATTTGCGAATCAAAGTTTTATTTCATTTTAATTACCATTGGTTCCAAAAAGTCTAAAATATTTAATGATACTAAATTTGCACAATAAAATTCCTTTATTATCATTAATGTAATAAAGTTAAAAGCAAATTGGATGATTATTTTCCTATTATTTTATTGTTTCAAAATGTCCGTGAGTTAATTAAATATAATCTTTAGAATATTTCTTATTAAATCCTATATTTTCAAGAAATTTTATTTTATTTAATATCAAAAATATCTTTTAACAATTTATAATTTTATATTAAAAATTTTATATGATATTCATAATTCATCATCTGAATCTTCTTCTCCATATATGTTACTACTTTAATAAGCAGAGCATACTAAATATGAAGTTACTAATACAATTATAGTAATTCCAAGCAAAATGTAAAATGATGTACTTTCAAATAAATGCATTTTTTGAAATTTCAATATAATATAAGCTGAATTTGAGTTGTAGTAATTATAAGCTTATAAATTTATTGGTATATCTCTTTTGTAACTTTGGTTAAATCTATTTTTAGAGAGAATATATTAAGTGAGAATTCTAAAGTGCTGCCATTATTCAACAGAATTAATATGTTTCCAAATGAATTATTTTATGCTACGAATGAGAACGCATTAACCAAAGTCTAATTAAGTGTAAAAAGATATCCACCTATAAAAAGGAGTGGAGTTTAAAAACTAATATTCTCAACATTAAAATCTTCATAATAAGAGATATTATATAGAGTAATCATATGTGTTTAATTGGATTTTTCAGTTAATTACCAAAGGAATGTACGATTAAATTAAAGTTAGAATTTGAAATCATTAAAATAATTTCTTTATTTTTTCTAAAAATCATAGGTATTGTGTCAAATGAAAAATATTGATGGGTAATGCTTTCTAAAAGGATAGAGTTTTCATCCCTATGTGTAAATATTGACTGATTATCTATCTTAGCAAATTTGTAATATAGTTAATCTTTATGAATTGGTTTAAAATACATATAATTTATTATGAAGCTATTACCCATCTAAATTTGGTGTGTCTAGAATCCAAATGAAGCACTTATGCATATAAATTAACCCTGCTATTCTTGTCTTTAGTTAATAAAATACATATGAACTCCATTATTATGGTTCTCATCGTTCCAAATATAAAGCTGATTATTTTATATTCTTAACCAAGCATTTTCTCTAAAACTTTAATTTGGTAAACTCACAATTAGATTTGGATATAAATTATTGTTATATGTGGGATTTGAGAAATTGATACTGATTATTTAATAGTTCGAATTAACTTGACATAAAGCATAAATCATTTCATCTTATGATGTCGAGGCAACACATGAATTATATGGCCCAAAGTTATATTATGCATCAAAAATACAATCATATTTTAAGATAGTTTGATTATTGATCAGCAAAAATTCACTCTTGTTATATTAAATAATTTAATTGTAGGTTTAACTTTCATGCTTCATTTTAGAAAATTCAATATTGTTGATAAAAATTAAATTAAGTAGACCAATATCATTAAACCTTATAGTATCATCATTTTGTGAATATAAAAGTTAGATATATTTCATCAATTTGCTTTAATTCACCAAATATTGTGAATGAAGTTCTCAAACGTTTCTGATTGATAATTGGCTTAAAAATTTTAATTTTTAGTTTGAATCCTTTGAATAACACATGTTTTAACGTAGAATTGATTATTGTGTCATTCTAATAGTTTATGAGTTATCAATTAGCATAATCGCAGTGCGATGAGTATTTTAAAGATATTTTCAAATCTTCTAGTAATTTATTAGGAAAAATTAAACAACAGAGTACACAATTAATAATATGATTACACTAATAAATCTTCAAATATAGTTTAAAATTATAATTTTTGCAAATATATATCTCAGTAAATAGTAATCCTGCTAATATCAAAATCAAACATTTTAAAGAAATTTGTTATCCACTAGAAACCAAACAAAATCTTATAATTCCATAATTCTGTTCAATTGATAAATAGTATGATACATCAATATATTAAAATAATAATATTAAGAATTAATTCTTAAATCTTTCAAATTAATTATTTATCTCACTATTCATTCCTTATACTATCTTATCTGAATCTCCTTTGATATCTCATCCCAAGTAATCAAATACTCTCCATCATTACTTACTTATCCAAAAATATTATATTTTTGAAATTCGATAGATTACTCAACAATAAAGCCATCATTTTCCAACTTTCTCAATAAAATAATATTATTCCCATTCTTATTTACCAATATACCTTTTGAATCAATGTATTATTATTGGAATTAACAATCATCTTTTGAACCACAATTTACAATAATTTCCTTTGTCTTCCTATACTATTGGGAATTACAATCCATTTCATACACATGCATAAACTCTTTACAATAAGGTTAGAATGTAAAAATGTTATCATTGATAAAACATAATCTATATCCGTATTAATCTGCCTTTATCTTTTATAAAACATCCCATTTTTTATCCAACGTTCTCTATACAATTACCAAAATTAATGAATCAGCTGAACAAGAAATCAATTTATTTTATGTTTGATTTAAATTTAATGAATAAACGCTTTTAGTATGCTAAGTTATTGTTTATGAGCAAGACCATTATTTCTATTTCGTCCAAAATTTGATTGAATTATCACCACTTGATATAATTAGATCATCATCATTACTCAACAATAAACAAAAAACACTACCTGATTGTCCATTCAATTTTTATTTACAATCCCATTAATTATATTCATTAATCTACCATATTATTATTAAATTATCCAGACTTCCGGAAACTAAATTATTTGAATTTTTCATAAAACTTAATGTCAAAACAGAATTTGCATGCTCACTTAACGATTATATAGGTTTCAGCTACCCCTAAATATGAGAGAAAATTTTAATATTCTTATGACATCCAACTGCCACTATTAAATTATCTTTATTAAAAGCAATTACACGACACCATTCTTTCTACTTAATTGAATTTTATTACATGAGTTCAAATGTGAATTGATTTTGATTAGGATTTAATACGCATTCATGCTTTGGCTATTCCTAAATAGTTATATCTAGAGGACTTAATAAAATTTCATTTTACTTCAAATAAGAGAAAGATTTTATAATTTATAGTGTTTCTTTTATAATAGATTAAATTTATTCGATTTATTATTGAAGCTAAATAAATAATGATTCCTCGCAATCTTCCATTTAACATAAACTTTTTATTAATATATCAAGTTCAGATAGTCCTAATTCCTATAATTATTAAATATTTAAGTGTAAATAGGGAAGAAACTAATTTAAAAGGTTGTCAAGGCTAAATTTACACTCTTAAACGCTCTTTTCAACATCTTGAATAATAAGTATCCTCTGTTATATCCATCCATATAAAAGTTCCAAAGATGTTAACATGTTAAGATGTTTACTATGACAAGGTAAGCAAAAATTACAATAAGGCCTTAAATCTGGACATATTCTATTGATACAAAATCCCATTATTTGTTAATTTTGATGATTAGCTTAAGTACATCTAATATTCATTTATTTTTCTATTACAATTAATATATCAATAATAATTTGATCATATTAAACTTCCGAGTTTATACAGAATAATTTAAAAAACAACCATCATTCTATTTGAAAATTATTTATCTTATTTTTAGTTTATAATAACATTCTTAAATAAAAATATCACTAAGAATAAATCTTTAATTTAATATATAATCTATAAGTACGTCAATTTTCTTATCAACCCTCCTATTATGGTTATTGTTGAAATTATACTTCTTAATGACTTCGTTCAAAAACAGGTTATTCAATATTATTTTAAAATTAATCTATATTTACAACGTTACCAGTTTAATCATCAGAAATTTATTTATTTTTTTGTTATTCATTTTATTTATTCTCTTCAATTTCTCCTATTTCTTCCAACTATTCTTTACTTTCTAAATTTTATTAAAATATTTCCTTCTTTTCTGTCTTACTCTATAATTATTGTTGTTATACTTAATCCACTATTATTGTTTCAGACTATTATGATATTTATGAATTGATATCACTTGCTCCAATTTACTAGAATTGATAATCTAATTCCTTTTTCTTTTTTAATCCTTTCTGCTCATCAAATATTAATCTATCATAACATAATTATCCCATGATATAGTCACCTTTTTTTGACCTATATTTAATTATATCTAAAGGCAAATCCCTAACAATAAATTTAGATAGTACTTGCAATCCTATTCAGATAATTCTTTTTTCTCATTACTAATAGTTTAAGCAGGGGTGTATTTATTGGGAATTAAATTTATTGCTTAATTTTGTTCTTATTTTTATTTATTTTACTAACTTAGCCAAGCAAAGAAAAAGAAAACAACAAGGGAAATGTATGCCTGTGTTTATTCATTTTACTCTTAAGAATTATTTTTCTAATAATTTTATTGAGAGTAATTATGCTCTTAATTCTAATGATGATGTTCTTTCTAATTATTATTATCCTAATCCTTTTGATAATTATTTTATTCTCTCTAATTTGAATTTTTTAACTTTTAATCATACATGCGTCTATCAGATTCATTAGATAATATAGTGTATGCTGCTGTGACTTCTTTGAAATATTCCTAATTTAGTAGTGAAAATAACTTAATCTTTGGACTATTAGGAATTTGTATCAGGGTGATAGATTTTCACAATCTTGAGATAGTTTGACTTTATTTGTGCTTAACTTGCATTTTCATGTACATACAAGTATTTAATAGAGTGTCCTAAATTAAAATTGCAATCTAA